CTCTCCTCGGAGCAGCTACGTGCGTGGTACTTAGAGTACTGCAGCCTCCGGAGAGGTACCGCTCGAGCCGGACGTACTACTGGGACTGGTGCTAGTACTTCTTCTCCCGTTCGGGAGCTCCCCTCCCGCGAGCGGATCCGTGAGTGGTACGAGCGGCGCTGCACTCTTCGGAGTGGCGTGCCTCGTGTTACGAACCCCGCTGCTGTTGGAGCTGCTGCTGGTGCTGAGGACCCGGGCGTTGGAGCTGCTGCTGGTGCTGAGGACCCGGGCGTTGGAGCTGCTACTGGTGCTGAGGACCCGGGCGTTGGAGCCGCTGCTGGTGCTGAGGACCCGGGCGTTGGAGCTGCTGCTGGTGCTGAGGACCCAGGCGTTGGAGCTACTGCTGGTGCTGAGGACCCGGGCGTTGGAGCTACCGCTGGTGCTGAGGACGTGGGCGCTGGAGCTGCTGCTGGTGCTGCGGACCCTGGTGCGGGTGTCCCTGCTGGCTCTGGTGTCGCTGCTCGGTCTCAGCCGTACTTTGTTCCGCTCCTTCAGCAGGTTCTTGGTCAGCTTCCTCCTCCTTTTCCTCCTCCCTCCTTAGAGTGTCCTCAACCTGTCCAGCTGCAGTCGGCGTTACCGTCTGCCTCCTCTCTCCTTGGTCCTGCTCCTTACACTGGTCCGACTGGAGGTCTTACTGAGCGGCGTGCGCCTGCGTCTCGTCCTGCGTCGCCTGAGTCTCGTCCTGGGTCGCCTGTCCGCACTGCTCTCTCTAGTCGTCGAGTCCAGCGTCAGCGTCTTCCTGCTGTCCCAGGCACTCACCGGATGGCGCTTCGTCCGTCCACTGCTCCACAGCGTGTCCCACTGCCGTCTCCTCCTGCTTCCTCTCTTCCTGCTCTTCCTGACCATGGGTCAGACTCTCTTCGTGCTACCAGTCCTGCTGTCACGCGTCTCCTGGCCACTGTTGTCACTGACCCTTCCTTTGAGTCTGCTGCTGCGTCTGCCTTAGTTGCTGAGCTTGTCGACTTTGCTGCTCGCTGTCGTCTAGACTACGCTGCTAGCCTAGTTGCTGAGTCTGAGTCTGTCTGTCCTCCGTCCGTCGGGGGTGAGTGTGCTCTTGGCACTGACGTCCTTGAGGACAGGCAGGAGGAGTTCCAGTGCTTTGCTGCCGCTTTGCCCCATCTCGTGTCCATGCTTGTTGCCCCTGAGGGAGACCCGGATGCACCAGACATCCCGACCCCACGCTCTTACGCAGAGGCGATGGCCGGTCCCTACTCCTCTCAGTCGCAGTCAGCCATGGACACAGAGATGGCTTCCTGGAAGTCCACAGGCACCTACGTCGACGAGGTTCCCCCGCCTGGGGCGAACATCGTCAGTGGCATGTGGATTTTCAGGGTGAAGCGGCCGCCGGGTTCTCCGCCTGTCTTCAAGGCGCGTTACGTTGCACGAGGCTTCAGTCAGCGCGAGGGAGTTGACTTCTTCCAGACCTTCTCCCCGACCCCGAAGATGACCACTCTTCGGGTTCTGCTGCACGTCGCCGCTCAGCGTGACTACGAGCTCCACTCGCTTGACTTCAGCACTGCTTTCCTGCAGGGCAGCCTGCACGAGGAGATCTGGCTGCGCCGTCCACCTGGCTTCACTGGGTCGTTCCCTCCTGGTACCCAGTGGAGCCTCCGACGGCCAGTCTACGGTCTCCGCCAGGCGCCTCGTGAGTGGCACGACACACTGAGGACTACGCTTGCGGCTCTTGGGTTCGCGCCTTCTACTGCTGACCCGTCGCTGTTTCTACGCACCGACACCTCACTGCCGCCGTTCTACGTCCTTGTGTACGTCGACGACTTGGTTTTTGCTACTGCTGACACTGTGGCACTCGCCCACGTGAAGTCGGAGCTGCAGAAGAGACACACGTGCACAGACCTGGGTGAACTGACAAGCTATCTTGGCTTGCGGATCACCCGGGACAGAGCACGCCGCACCATCACCTTGACTCAGTCACACATGGTGCAGCAGGTCCTTCAGCGCTTCCGCTTCACGTACTCCTCGCCTCAGCCCACTCCTCTGCCTACCGGTCACTCGCTCTCAGCTCTGCCTTCGGATGAGTCCGTAGAGCCGAGTGGCCCGTATCCAGAGCTTGTGGGTTGCCTCATGTACCTGATGACCTGCACTCGACCAGACCTTGCATACCCTCTCAGCATTCTTGCACGCTATGTCGCTCCCGGCCGTCACCGGAAGGAGCACATGGATGCAGCTAAGAGGGTGTTGCGCTACTTGTGCAGTACGTCGGGCATGGGGCTAGTGCTTGGAGGGCGAGTCCCAGTTGTTCTCACTGGGCACTCAGACGCTTCTTGGGCAGACGACCAGGCTACTCAGCGGTCGTCTCAGGGTTACTCCTTCAGTCTTGGCTCTGGTTCTGTTTCTTGGCGTTCTACTCGCTCTTCTTCTGTTCTCAGCTCCAGTTGTGAGGCTGAGATCTACGCCACAGCCATGGCGGCCCAGGAGCTACGCTGGCTCACCTACTTGCTGACCGACCTTGGAGAGCAGCCTCGTTCTCCTCCAGTGCTGTACGTCGACAACAAGGCAGCCATTGCCTTGTGTGAGGAGCACAGACTGGAGCACAGAACGAAGCACATTGCTCTGCGTTACTTCCTCGCTCGAGAGCTGCAGCAGCGTGGTCAGCTTCGCCTGCGTTACGTGGCCTCTGAGGCCAACACTGCTGATGTGTTCACCAAGGCGCTTCAGCCTTGTGACCATCAGCGCTTTTGCACTCTTCTAGGCCTTGTGCCTACTGGACCTCACTTGCTTACTTCTTGAGTCTGTTGTACTGTGATCTCTATATATAAACCTGCATGTGAACTGGTCTTGTGACCACTTGCTTGTGCTCGGAATTTGTGTGGTATCCTTGAGATCCACCCTGAGCTTGTTTTATCTTGCTTTGCCTTGACTGGTCTTGTGACCCCTAGTTCTCCCCACTTTGCCTATGGGGGTGTGTCAAACATTATATATGTTGTGTTAGTTTAGGCTACAGTGGGTTAGTCTATAGGGGGTACACAATTCTAGGGTTAGGTACTTGTACTCTTTTCATTGCTAGTTCATTCATTCCTGTTCAGTGATTCCAACAGAACCGTGGTGCCCAAGCCAGCAGAGATGGCAGCAGAGATGTGGCTTATGGGCTCTGCACATACAGGCGCACTCACAGCGATGAGAGCACTCAGAGCGATGAGAGCACTCAGAGCGATGAGAGCACTCAGAGCGATGAGAGCACTCAGAAGGAAGGCTCCAGGAAAGCAATATACCGTAAATTGTATACAGAAAACGCGCAAAAACATTATATGTCCTAATATAATATTAGCAAATAACTCTTTGAATTTTTATCTTGGAACTTTTCTTTCCCGAATCAGTGTCCGGGTTCGGCTTCCCGCCTGCTTGGAGCCTTCCAAACGTCCCGAGCCGATGCAGTGCACCGGCAATTGCAACACGCCGTTACATCGCAAGTTCTCTGATCCATGTTTCCCTTTCTGCACTCGTGTGTTTCAGCAGGAATTTAGGATTGTTTCCAGACATTTGGTTTCGTATTTGAACCTGGGATAAATTGGGTTTCTCAATAATATTACCAACCTGTTTCGATGGTGTAGTTCAAACGGGAAATCCCTCCCTTCCATCCCGTTTTTGGAGTAATCCAGCCTGTTGGACCTTGAATCTCGACGTGTACTGGAAAAAACTTTTGCTTCCCACCGTATTTGAACATTGTGCACCACCACCGTCTACTTTTTGTTCCGGGCTCGTTTTGAATGGTTCGTCCTGTCGCGTTCCGGGGAGACTGCACCCCGCAGGATGTGTTATGACGTGTCATGTGCGGTCGAGTGGGCTGTTCACGATGATGCGCATCCGCCCTCTCTTCATTGGGAGAAGTTTTATCACTTGTCCAACAGCTTTACCAGTGCGAAGGTGTTTTCGTGCAGGCTCTTTCTATTTCGTCAACCGGACAAATTATCTACCCTAGAGTAACTTCTTGCTGAACGTATTGCATACTGAGACGCATTACAGTGGGTATCTACCATAGCAAGGATTATTATATGATCAAGCACCGTTGTTGGTATCTATTTTACTCATCACTATCTTTTGCGCTTGCGAAGGAATACAGCGGGTACAAAATCGTTACTGCGTTCGCCTGCTGTCTCTGATGTGCTTCGAAAATGCTTGCCGCCATCACCACGTAAAGCACACTTGTCAGGTCTGACCGCGTGATCCTGCTGAACCGCACCGCACCATCCATCAGAAAGAAACTGCTGCATCCTGGCAAGATGCGTTCCCTGCTCAACCCACTCCAGCTCTAGCTTCTACTTTCGCCATTGTCCCGCAGCAACTGCTAGTGCTACTAGCTAGTAGCTCTTGGGACTATGGCCTCCTTAATATCTCCACCTACTCTTATCATTACTCCGTCTCATCGTCATCCAATTCCATCCGTTTCCTCAGCCTCGTCCCTTTCCCCTTGCGCGGCCAGCCTTATTGAACCGTTAATCCACGCTGCTGCATACCCTCACCGTCGATCAAGACCAGGTCTTTCAGTATCAGGGGGTCGCGACCAGACGCATCTACTTTATCCCTTCCACCAGCCGACACGTCCAGTCAGCGCTGCTGCGTCCTCGTGTCCAAGTCGTCTCGCTCAACCCTCGCACTGCCGTCATGCGTCCTCCAATTTCGCAGCACCGTGCGAGTTTCGCACGGTCCGTCGTCCGAGTTGCTCATTTATCGCCGCACCTCGCACCACCTTCAAGCGCGACCAGCTGGTGGTTCGATGTAGCGCAGAAAGCGGCGGCGCATCAGGAAGCGCTGCCAGCAGCGCAGGAAAAGCGGATTCAATTGAAAGCGGAGAACCAGAAAGGAACCCCACAAGCCCGCCTGGTCGAGGCGCATTGTTTATCCAACCAATTGCTGCGCGACTACCCGTGCAGCCGCATCCGTCGCTGATAAACGACGATCTCGTTCCGACGCTGGCCAACCAACGAACGTTCGACGCGTGGCACATGGCGTCTCTCTGGGTCGGCCTCGTTGTCGGTGCGTCTCACTCACTCCATTACTCACCTCCCTCCAATTCTCAAATTCTCGCTCTCTCCTGTTTTCCCCTTTTTCATTCAAACAAGCTTCTCTTTGAGCGCCATCATCACCCAAATGCTTCCATCTCCCGCCATCCAGTAAATCCTCTTTGCAACCTTTCAACCTTGCAACCCCTTTCTCCTCCCCTAATTTCCGTCTCCCTCCTCGCCACTTTCGTTCCCTCCGCTCTCCCCTCCCTCCCTGCCCCCCTCCGCTCTCCCCTCCCTCCCTGCCTCCCTCCGCTCTCCCCTCCCTCCCTGCCCTCTACCCCGTCTCTCGCTCCGCCATCTCAGGCGTCCCCACGTGGTACCTCGCGGCCACCTTAGTGGAGGTAGGCATGGCATGGTGGCAAGGTCTCCTAACGGTCCTAGCGGGCAATCTCCTCGTGCTCATCCCCATGCTGCTCAACGGTCATCCCGGCTGCAAGTACGGCGTGCCCTTCCCCGTCCTCGCGCGCGCAGCCTTCGGCGTCAAAGGCGCCAACCTCCCGTCGCTGCTCCGCGGACTCGTCGCCTGCGGCTGGTTCGGTATCCAGACCTGGATCGGAGGTTCGGCGATCCTCCAGCTCGTCATGCACTTGCCAGCGGCGCAGGGGGCTGCTGGGGCTGCGGCGCTGGCGGCGGCGCCGAACCTGCCGGGGTGGTTCGGCGGGGTGACGTTTGCGGAGTTGGGGTGCTTCCTGGTGTTTTGGGCGGGGCAGCTGGGGATTGTGTGGCGCGGGATCGAGTCCATTCGCCATCTCGAGTCTGCCAGCGCTCCCGTGCTGTTGCTGTAAGCACAACGCTGTATGGTATCTGCTGGCTGGTGCGGTGAGGCTGGTGCGGTGAGGCTGGTACTGTGAGGCTGGTACGGTGAGGCTGGTACGGTATGGTCTCACAACCCTGGTGATCTAGTCCACCAAGGTCTTCGACGTCTCAAAACGCCATCACACTCTTAGCATAAAAACTGCTGAGATTGTATCCTGTTCCTTCCACCCGCCGGCTTCAAACAAGTGTCATGGTGTCACAGGGAGGAAAGGTCCAACAACTTCTCGGTTTCCTGATGCAAACGGGTCTCTCCACACTGCCTTCCATTCTGTTATCCAGTTGTCCGCATCCTCTTTGCTTCCCCTTCCTCATTTCGTTCCCCTTCCCCTACCACTTCTTCGTCCCATCTCCCTTCTCCTGCCCCATCCCCATCCCCAGCCTGTGTGCATGTCTGCTGGCGTGGGCGTACTCCAGGGCGGGCGGTCTGGGGCCCATGCTCAGCGCACCCTCGCTCTTTGCGCCGGGAGGACCCAAGCACGGGCAGTTCTGGAAAACGTTTTTCCCTGCCCTGACAGCGAACGTTGGGTTCTGGGCGACACTGAGCCTCAATATCCCAGGTGGGTGGGCTGCGTGCTCGTGAATATGGTCGTGAATGTGGGCATTAACATGGGCGTGGGCATGGCATGGGGATCTGCTTGCACGTGCTTGATGTTGATGGCAATGGATCTTGAGTGATCAAGAGCAACCGACCGGGAGTTACGTTTGATGGACAAGCAAGTGAAACGTATGGTGGAGTGCTGTCAAGGGATCAAGGAGGACTTGTTCCTTGGTTATAGACTATACTTAGCTTCCCCCTAACAGAATCCATAGTTGCTGTGACATTGGAGGGCAAGTGGATGTCGCCCCACTCGCACTGCTTCATAATATACCATCTTATAGTGGTAATTACTGCTTTCAAGGCTCCTTATTTTTCCTCTCCCTTTCTGCACCCCCATTGCCCATCCCCCTATCAAACCCACCCCTTCTTCACCCACTACCCACCCCTCTCCCCCCTGCTCCTCTGGCAGACTTCACGCGCTATTCTCGCTCGCAGGCCTCGCAAGCCATAGGGCAGGCGCTGGGCCTACCTGTCACCATGGTGGCGTTTGCCTTTGTGGGCCTCGCTGTCACCTCCGCCACGCTCGTGGTCTTCGGCCCCCCTGCCATACCCGACCCCGTGCTGCTGCTCTCCAAGATCCCCGGGCTGCTCCCCTCGCTGCTCGCCTGCACTGGCCTGTGCCTCGCCACACTCACCACCAACATCGCCGCAAACGTCGTTGCACCTGCGAACGCGCTGGTGAATCTGGCGCCGCGGCGGGTCTCCTTTGCTGCAGGAGCCACGGTTACAGCCCTTGCGGGGCTGCTGCTGGCGCCATGGAGGCTGGTTCGGTCGCCGGCGGATGGTGGTGGTGGTGGAGGCGGGGCGTTTTTTGCTTGGCTTGTCGCGTACTCGGCTTTGCTTGGTCCCATTGCAGGGGTTCTTGTCGCAGATTATTTCTTGCTCAGGAAGACGGAGCTAGACGTGGATGGGCTTTATTCTTTGGACCCGTCTGGGCCTTATTGGTATGCGGGCGGGTATAATCCGGCTGCAGTGCTTGCGTTGGTGGCAGGTGTGCTGCCTAATCTTCCTGGGTTTCTTGCTGCTGTGGGAGTGATTGCCTCAGCAGTGGTGCCTCCATGGCTGCACACGGTGTATTCAAACTCATGGGTGATTGGGTTTATGGTAGCTGGAGCAACGTATTTGCTGCTCATGAAGGTGTTTCCATGGTATAAACTTAGAACATGATGGGACTCCGTATTCCTGTACGTTTATTGCCCATGCAAGCTGCTGTTTTGCTCTTATGGGAAGCTGGCCTGGATGGAAGGTTCACCCCTAGGCAGGGATGGGAGTGCAGTACAGGGGTTGTCGCGCGTTGTGCTGTTTGGGCTCAGTTCGTTGGCTCAACGGGTATCTGATTCGAGCCTTGATCGCATGTTGACAACGTGGGGGCAAATGTGGGCTGGCGGCTCGGTTCACGCGCATTTCAAGGCACTTCCTGGATAAAGGTGACGGAGATGTACACTGTACAGTCCAAGCTCTTTGTGCGGCAGCGGCCGGAGACGAACCGAAGACTGACACGTGATACCCTTATGGTCCAATCAAATTCGGATACATCTGTGCTCCGCGAGGCGCGACGACGTGGCTACCTCGTCTTGACGGCTTTTTCATGACAACCCATACAGTGGTTACACACCGACAGTCGCTCAGTCAGTTGAATCGCGATTTCACCGGCGTTCCGCTAGCGAAACAAAACCCTTTGCCCCAACCCAAATCCACTCGGAACCTGGAGGGCTTTGTGAAGTCGTAACGTAGGCCGTACGCGATTCACAACAAACACACGCGTCGCTTGCTTGGTCGCGCCGGCATCTTCCCAAGATGACGAGAGTTTCATATTCAGATTCAGCCCAAAGCAGTGGCTTCTTCCATTGGTTATCCCTTCAGGGCAGGCCAACTGCTGGTCCTGATTCCGTCAAAGCTACAAAACGGGTGAGGAGAGCAAGGAATACATTTAGCAGGCTCTCCAACTGACTTCGTCCTTCCGCCCTCGCGCGACTGATCGCAAGGGCCTTTGCTCTACAACTTCTCTTACTATCCCATTTCCCATTTTTGTTTCAATCGCTCGGCCGTCGCTTGAAATCATGGAATCCACCATCTGTCGCACAACCCCAACCATTCGCCATGGTTCGGGGTCCTTGCATCCTCAACCCTCCTCGCGGCATCCCAATCCCGTCAATTTCGCCTCAGCTCATCCTCGCGAACGGCTCGTCTGGCCGGAGGCCGCCAGTCGCTTCACTCCCGCCAGTTCGCTACCCTTGCGACCCGCGCGTTCCCACCACACCGGCAAGTCTCTCAATCTTCGTAGACCTCTCGCGCCGATCGGACGACCAGTAGCAGCGTCAGACGAGCCGTCTCGGAACACCGGTAGTAGGCGATGCTCGCACCAATCCTTTCCACATTATCCCCGCTCCCGCCCAGATTATGTTGACGCAGCAGCGACCCTGGCTGCACGCACTTCTTCACAGCTGAATCATTCCAACCAATTGCCGACTTTAGTAGACCGTGTTTCGCGCAATCCTCTCGTCGCTCGCTTCCACCGTTCACGATGCCGTTGCTCCGCCGCGTCTCACGCGGCCGATGGCGGACGGGACACCGCCGCAGCCGGCGGCGTTTCCCTGGGCTCTCCCGAGCTATTAGAAGCTACGTTCGAAGGCCCCACAGGAGGGATGCAATTGATTACAGCCACGTCGGTAGCAGACAACTTCGACGTCGCTGCCACGTCAGTCACCGCCGCCGCCGCCGCCGCCGCCGCCTCCGCTGCTGCTGCTGCTGCCGTTCCACTACGAGCAGCTGAGGATGCAGCTGTTTCATCGAGCGCGCGAAGCTTCGAACTGGATGGGCTGATGCACGACGAGAGATTACGAGGATCTGACCTGGATCCGAGAGGAGAAGAAGCTATTACTGCCAAGCTACATGAATCGAACCTGGCTACGACGACAGAGGCGGGTTTATACGAGGCGGAGAAGGTTGAATTTGGGCGGAAGGACGCTCGGTGGAGTGAGGAGGTGTGGGAGCAAGCGCGGAGTGTGGTGAGCTTCGCGGGGCCTGCTATGGGGATATGGCTGTCGCACCCGATTATGTCTTTAATCGACACGGCTGTGGTGGGACAAGGCTGCTCCACTGAACTAGCTGCGCTGGGTGAGACAGAGGGGAAGAGGAATGGGGGAGAGTGTTGGGGAAGGGGACGTAGAGGGGAGGGGGGGGAGGGGATGGGAGGGGAGGGGGAGGATAGGGAGAGGGTAGGGGGAGGGATTGGGGGAAGAATAAGATGAGGTATGAGGGTGGTGGAGGGACGTTTTATGTCTCTCTCGGTTTGAAGGAGACCGAAGAAGGTGGCAATGCAGTGCAGTGATGGTCAGAGAGTGCAGTGTCACTGTCGCCTTGCTCCCCTCCCTCCCTGACCCCGCATCCCTCACAACGTCCCTCCTCCAGTTTCTCTCCTCCTCCAGTTTCTCTCCTCCTCCAGTTTCTCTCCTCCTCCTCCTCCTCCTCCTCCTCCTCCTCCTCCTCCTCCTCCTCCTCCTCCTTCTCCTCCTCCTCCTCCTCCTCCTCCTCCTCCTCCTCCTCCTCCTCCTCCTCCTCCTCCTCCTCATCCTCCTCCTACTCCTCCTCCTCCTCCTCCCCCTCCCCCTCCTCTTCCCCCTCCTCCTCCTCCCCCCACTCATCCCCTCCTCCCCCTATACCTCCTGGTGACGTCCCTCATTTTCACCCGTGCACCTCGGGGCCAGGCACAGCAGTGCGACCAGGTGTCACTAATCTAGTACTGAGTCCTCTCAAAAACCCCTCTCGCCGCAGCACTTCCTTTCTCCCCTCCCCTCCACCCTTACACACAGAGCAGGGCCAGGAGCAGCACTTTGCGACCAGGGTGACATTAATCTGCTCAGCACCTCACCAAATCAGACGTCTCAACTGCAACTGCAACTGCAACCCCCTCTTTATCCCCCACCCACCCACCCACCCCACCCAACCCCTCCTCCCCTCTTCCTCTCCCCCCCCCCGCGTGGCAGGGCCGGGCACGGTGATGTGCGACCAGGTGTCGTTAGCTTAAGAATAAGACATCTCAACCTTTTCTACCACCCCACCCCCCTCTACCTCCTACCCCCCGCGTGGCAGGGCCGGGCACGGTGATGTGCGACCAGGTGGCGTTCCTCTTCATGTTCCTCTCCATCGCCACCGCCAACCTCATTGCCACTGCCATGGCGCAGCAGGTCAGCCGCTCTGCGCCCACTTCATGTCGGGTCAGGTGGAGTCGGCTCGGGTCGGGTAGGGTCGGGTTGGGTCGGGTTGGGTCGGGTTGGGTCAGGTTGGGTCAGGTTGGGTCGGGTTGGGTCGGGTTGGGTCGGGTTGGGTTGGTTTAGCTCGGGTCAGTTCGGGTCAGATCAGGTCGGGTCAGATCAGGTTGGGTCAGGTCAGTCAGGTTGGGTCAGGTCAGTCAGGTTGGGCTGGGCCAGGCCATGGACTAGCTTGCACATGAGTAGTTGCAGTGCAGGAAACTGGGCAGGTAGGGGGCATAGAGGCAGGCTGGGAGCACATGGGGAGGCTGGAGGCATGGCACACACTGTACCTTCCATGTTTACCTTCTGGCTCCACACTCAGCCTTCTTACTCTCTCCAACCCTCTCATCCCCTCCGCCCATGCACCTTGCCTAGCCTTGCACGGGCAGATGAGGAAGAGAGCAGAGACATGCAACATGAGGTGCAAAACAATCTTCCCGCTCTCACTGATCCCCTCATCCCCTCCGTGCGTCATCCCCAATCCCTCCAGGACACTGAGCTGGCATCGCGGCATCTATCACAGCTGCTGCTTTTGAGAATTCTCGGAAGCGACTACGATATTGAGAATTCTCAAAAACCCCTCCCCGCGTCTACCCCAATCCGTCCAGGACACAGAGCTGGCATCGCGGCATCTATCACAGCTGCTGTTCGTGGCGCTCGTGTGTGGGCTGCTCATGACCGCCATCTCCCTCAAATTCGTACCACAAGCCATTGCCGGTGAGGCTGGTGCCGTGACGTGATGGCGGGGTATTGGAGAGAGACAAGGTGGAAAGTAATGGGTATTAGGGAGTTTGCGAACGGGGCACGGCTTGTCGAGTTGTTCAGTGAGCATGTGCTGTGTTCGTACACACTTCCGGGGTTAACTTCGTGGAGCTTCCACTTGTGAGTTCCTTCCTCCTTTTGCTGCTCACACTGCTGCTTCTTCATATGCCCACGAATTCACGTGTGTCTATGTCAATGCTCCTGTGTGTGTGTGTGTGTGTGTACATCTGTGTGCCTACTGCCCATCTCCCTCTGCATGTATCCACGGGGCACACCAGGATTTGTGGGCAACAACACTTCCATCATCCCAGCAGCGTGTGTCTACGCCAAGGTACATGGAGGGGGAACCTTACACACGGCCTTGCACCTGTACCTGTACCTGTACCTGTACCTGTACCTGTACCTGTACCTGTACCTGTACCTGTACACTCTACCACCCACAGGGGATGAATGGAGGGGAAAATAGAGGCTTGAGCGCAGAGGTCACATTCGGCTTTCCGTGTCAATGATATCTGCCTGCTCACTGCATGCCGTCGTTTCACCTGTCCAATCACCCTTGCACTTTCTTTCTCTTCATGCCTCTGGTTTTCCTCCCACTAGCACTCTTCATCAACCCACCTCACCAGTCTCAACCGCATTCTCTTCCCCTTCCCACCTTCTCCTCACTTCCTTGTCCTCCCGCTCTGTGTGCGTGCCAGATCCGAGCGTATGCATGGCCGGCTGTTCTTGTCACGTCTGTGGCTCAGAGCGCGAGGTGAGTGACAGGTCTCGCACACGGTTGGCAACTGTGTCAGAAAGAGTGTAATATCTGAGTGAAAACGAGTGGAAGGTTTGTCTGATTTAATGCCAGGGTGTAGGTTGAACGGATTCATTGGTGAGGGAGCTGGTGCAAGGTTGGGTACAGACAGCAGTGTCAGTTTAATATACAGGAGAATGCAACGTCACCAACAGACATTCATGCCCATTTCCCCTGCTCGTCTCAACCTCTCCTCCCTCTAACTCACCAATACCTCCCCTTCCCCCCAAACTCCCCGCTCCCTCTCCTCTCCCCCACACCCCCCGTTTCCTCCACACGCCCCACCAGTCTCGGGCTGCAGGATGTGTGGGGTCCGCTGCGCTGTCTGGCAATAGCGAGTGCAGTGAACCTGGGGGGAGACCTGCTGCTGTGCCCGCTGCTGGGATACGGCATTGCAGGGGCTGCCTGGGCCACTATGGCCTCTCAGGTGGGGTTCCCTTCCCTCTCCCTCCAACGGTCTCTCTCTCTCCCCCGCTTTCTAACTCTCTTAATCTCTCTATCTTCCTCTACACCGCAGTTGCTGCCCCTGTCCGCTCTGCACCTGTCACATTCCCGCGCCAACCCTGCCTACCTAACCCGCCCGCAGAATTCACTCATCTTCCCCCCACTCGACTCCCTGCGTCCCCATTAACCCCCCCTTCCCCCTCCCTGCTCCTGCAGTATGTGGGAGCTCTTCTCATGCTGCACTCGCTGCACCGGGCGGGTCGCATCCGCCTTGCCATCTCGCCTCCTCCGCTCCCCGCACTGCTCACATTCCTCTCCCTCACCGGCCCCATTTTCGTCACCCTTGCTGCTAAGGTCTGCCGTTCCTCCTCCATCCATCCATCCGTCCATCCATCCATCCATCCATCCATCCATCCATCCATCCATCCATCCATCCATCCATCCATCCATCCATCCATCCATCCATCCATCCATCCATCCATCCATCCATCCATCCATCCATCCATCCATCCATCCATCCATCCATCCATCCATCCATCCATCCATCCATCCATCCGTCAGTCCATTGGTTGACTCGCCCTGTCACTCCACTAGTGCCTCGTTATTTGTTATCCATACCTATCACGCTACACTTTCCCACTATTAGGACTGGCTGCCCTTTCAGCAGTTGTCAACGGTTTTCCAACATTTGGCCCTGCTACATGCAATGCAATGCATGGATCAACCCCGTCTTCTCCCATCTTCCTCTGCCTCCACACCATGCCTGCTCTCGCCTCCTCTCCCCTCTGCTCCCCCATCAGGTCGGCTTCTACACTGTGCTCACCTTCCAGGCTACATCGCTCGGCACCATTCCTCTTGCAGCACATCAGGTCTTTTCCTCTCCCCACCTTATACCGTTTCCTTCCTCTTCCCCTTCCTCTCCTCACCTTTCCCTCCTGCTCCTCCTCGTCCTCCCTTCCCTCTCCCTCCTCTCCTTCCTGTCCCGCCCTGTCCTCCCTCGAATCCTTACCATTCAACCTGCACACACTGCTTGTCCGTCAACTGCCCTATACCACCCTCGTCATCACTGCCTTATACTCCCTTCCCCCTGTCTCCTCCTCGTTCTCTTCTCTCTACCTACGTGGCAGGTGCTGGTTGGAGTGTTCGCCCTCTGTGCAGTGTGTGCAGAGCCTCTCTCTCAGACCGCCCAGTCCTTTCTTCCCAGCCTATGCGTTGGTGTCAACAGGAACATGCACAAGGTGACACCTCTCTCTCTCTCGTGCAGTCCATTCCATTCTTTCAAGGTTGCTCAGAAATTGTCTGTGTGTCCTTTCTCTTTCATAAGTTAAGAGTTCATAACCAATCAGACCGGAACGCGTTTTGAGACGTCTCAAAACACGCATGCCCTCTTTCCTGCTCTAGCTGAATGAGATTAGTTTTGAGAATTCTCAAAACTAGCTGAATGCTCTCCTTTTTCTCATCCCCCCCTTCGCATCTCATTCACTCCTCAAAAACCGCCCCGTCCTTCCATCCCTTACTCCCAACCCAACTCGTTCCACTACATGCCCCTTTCATCCCTTTCTCCCACGCCCCACATGTCACCCACATGCCAACAACCACAGGCACGGAGGCTGCTGTCACGCTGATGCTCGTAGCAGCCCTGCTGGGCGCTATAGACAGCTCCCCTCAATTTCCTTCTCCCTCTCTTCCCATACCACCCGCGTGCCAACAACCACAGGCGAGGCGGCTGCTGGTGACGCTGATGCTCATAGCAGCCCTGCTGGGCACCATATAGGTCACCCCTCAATTTCCTTCTCCCACTCCTCCCATACCACCCGCGTGCCAATGACTGCAGGCGCGGAGGCTGCTAATGACGCTCACGCTCATAGCAGCTCTGCTCGGCACCATAGAGGTCACCGTCGCCCTCCTCGTCTCGCTTCGCATGCCCACCCTCTTCACTGCCGACCCTGCTGTCGTCTCTCAGGTGATTCCTCAGGTGGATTCCTTAGGTTATGCCTCAGGTGGAACCCCAGGTGGCAGGGACCCCGGGTTCTCAGGTGGTAACTCAGGTTCGCATGCCCCCCCTCTTTACAGCCCTCATTGTGACTCGTTTACCCTATGGTCAAGAAGTCGGTGAGTATATGGGTGCTTCTCCTTCTGGTTCCAAATCGGATAGGAAGGAACGCCACATGGGTGTGCATGGACTGGACTTGGAATGATATGATACATTCTTCCCACATGTGCGCTTTCTTAGAAATCGACCCCACATTCGACACCAGCCGGCCGAACCCACCCTCCCTGTCACCTCTTGTTGCACAGTAGAGACTGCCTGTTTCATCAAACTCTCCTTCCTACCCCTCCTCCTCCCTTTCCTGCCTCTCCTGCTGCTCCTGCACCTCCGTCGCCCCTCCTTCCCACTTGTCCCCCTCCCCTCCCACCACCCCAATCAGATAGCGCGCATAGCCCCGGCCCTGGCTGTCAGTCTGATGCTCAACCCCATCGTGCTCTCCTCTGAGGGAGCCCTGCTGGTATGCCTGCCTCTCCGCCTGCTGCAGCCATGCCCGCAGCCATGCCCGCTGCCATGCCTGCTGCCATGCCTGCTCCCATGCCTGCTCCCATGCCTGCTGCTAGTGTTTGCCAGTATTTGCTAGTGTATGCTACTACGGCAGCTGTTGCACCTGTCCCTGAGTAGACACGTCACGTGCCATCTCTGTATAGAAGCTGACTGTCGCCCATACACCCCCTTCACTAATCCTCGCACCGGTACTTGTCTGTACCATCGCTAATGCTTCCCGTCTGTTCCCATTGTGTTCTTAACCATGCGATGCACCTCCCCTGTAACCATCATAACAATCATGACTAACAATCATTACCAACACCACCACCACCACCACCATGAGCAGGCGAGCAGGGACTTGGCATACTTGGCGTCTACCATGAGTGCTGCCTTGCTCATAGGCGCACTGCTGCTCAAGGTCAGCTCCAGCACCTTAACCAATAACACTATTTGCACCCACTCGTTCTTCGCAGCCTTCTCTGCCTGTGCTTCTCTAATCCCTCGGGCGACCAAACTATCCCCTTGCGGATTCCATCTTCCATTACATCATCTTACACTCCTCGTGATTTCCTTGCCCCTTCATCACAGCATTGAGCATCCTGAAAAACACCATGGGAATGCTGTGCACTCTCTCCTCTCTGGGCCTTGCCCCTCACTCACTCACCATCCTTTGCATGGCAGGGGGCGCAGCACTGGGGGTTTGGTCTTGCTGGCAACTGGTGGATCCTTGTTCTCTTCAATGTGGTAAGCTGCGACACATTTTCCTTGGCTCTGTCCCTTCGGTTCTCTTCTTATGCGTCCTCACCGTTCCCCAGGTAGTTCTTGTGTCAAAGCAGCTCTCCTGCTCACCTGCTCTCGCCTCGCCTGCACTCCCCTCTTCTCATCCCCCCCTCCCCCCCTTCCTCACCCTTCCTAATTCTGCCTTATATCTTGTCCGTCTCCCATTTCCAACATTGTCTGTCTCAGATGCGACTCATAGCGGCCGGCACTCGTCTTGCATCTCCAAAGGGAATATTCTCTCACGGAGGGGTATCCCAGGCAGTTTTTGCATAATTGCAAGTGCCATCCTTGACCTGAACTGTTCTGAACCTTGCTTCATATGCTTTCATTGTTATGAATGTGTATTAGATCAAAGTTTCTTCCCAGTCTTGCATGTGTGTTTTCCTGCGTTCTTTATACAGGTAGTAGGCTCTGATTGTAAGCAGTGAACTGTACACGTTCTTGGTATAGAACGTATTTTGGATAGGATCACCGTGAACGTAATCAGGTTATTCACGTGGGTTTGGCCAAGAATCAAGATGTTTTGCAGCATAGGTTTTTGCCGTATTGTGTCCTTTATTCCCGTACTGTGATAGGTGCTAGCAAAGAGTGGGCACACTTTCTGATCTCTAATTTCCTGTTGGCACATATTGTCGTATCCATTTTTATCGATTTTACCATATTGTCCACAATTGTCTCCACAAATGGGTCTCTTACAGAAACAGAATCCCCACTAGCGGACGACCTTGACCAGGGTGTACTCATCATTGATTGGACTATCTTGACGAGGGCAGCAGTGCTGCCAAAGTTATGCCCGTACCAGAACGCAGAATCTTTCAAACACGTCAGCGTGGTGCTGGCAACATTCAGATGCGTCAATCTGCAAATGGAGGTGCTAGTGCTGAAAACGTGGAGGATTTACAACTTTGTTAAGCGTTATAAATACAGCTCTTAACTGCTTTCCCTGCTTGCATCCCATGTACACAACGAGTATCTCCAGGTTCATAAATCAGTGGACCTTTGATTGCATAGCTTCCTAGCTGCTGAGGACGATTCTCTAAGTGCCAGTGGGGGTCGTCAAGGGTGTCTGTTCCAGGAACCAGACATCACGCTTCCAAAAAGTGAATATGGATACCCAATCCAGCACGACAAAGTATTCAAAACTTCCTCGACGCTGAATGGGCGGCTCGGCGTTTTTGATGCCAGCACGAGGAAGGAATTTCGACTGTACAGCTCCCGATTCCCAAATCCCGTCGCGTCGCATCCGCCTCCATCGCATGTGCCTCCGCCATCCTCTGTTGTCAAATTCTCCCCATCCCAGCATTTGTGAAGAAAAACCCAGCACTTCCATGAGCTATTGGCGGTTGCCTTTAGCAACACAGCTGCTGTTGGCATTTCCTCGCTCCCGTCTCTTACTGGGCCACTGGAGTTCTCCACCGTGACCTGAATTAATTTATTCTGACCCCTCGCGCTGCGCCTTGCCGCGTCCACCATGACCACCTCGCACATCCTCGTCTGCCTGCCGGACGGCTCCATGCGTCTCTTCGACGAGCCGCTCCTCATCGCGCGCGACGTTCTTCGCGAGTATCCGCACCACGACCTCTTCCTATCGCCCACACCACTGGGCGACGACCGCGACGCTGCCGTCTGCGACTGCGACCCCATCTTCGACTGCGAATGCGTCTGCGACGACGACGACGACGCTCGCAGCACCGTCTATTCCGCCACTACCGACAGCCAGAGCGGGACCATCAGCGCGGGATACAACACCAGTATCAAGAAAACCGGAACAGCGTCCACGGCGCGGCGCTTCGACCCCGTGAACCCGCACCGCTGCTTGACATCCGGCGCCATGTACTACCTCATGCCGCGCCGCGAGTACGCGTGGAAATGCCAGCTCCAAGACGCAGAGGCGGCGGAAGCCGCCGCGGCGAGGACGACGAAGAAGACCCATCGGATGGAAAAGGACGAGAAGGAGCATCAGCGGCACCATGATCACCGTAGTAGCAAGGGCTGGCGTCATGATCTCGCGGGGAGGGAGACGTCGCCCGCGCCGTCGAGCACGTCGTCGAACAACTCGTCGAACAACTCGTCGTCGTTTCCGCGCGCGGCGTCCGTGCCACTGATGACACCCGTCATCACGGAACCGTCCGGCTGTCGCACTGATGCAACGACTACTACTATTACTAGTACTAGCAATACTACCAGTGGTAGCTCTACTAGCGGCAGTAGAAGCAGCAGCTCCAGCGACATTCGAGAATGTGCCTCGTCATTCCGTGGAGAGAGGCTGCACGAGCCGAGTCATCCAGCGGTGGCAGCGATTCAGCGCGAAATGCAGTTTCTGGACGATGAGGCTCGACGATCATGGGACGCCGCGTCGGTGGGAATGGCCAGCGTTACGGGAACAGAGCGTCGTCACGGTGACGGCGATGACGAGTCGCGGCTGATGCTCAAGCTGCTGATGCACCAGCAGTCCATGCTGCAGCAGCTGCTTGAGGCGCGGAGGTCGGCGGGGGAAGGACAGCGTGACGTTGCGCCATGGGTCCCCCCGCAGACCACCCCTGACAACGAGATCACCTCCGTGGCGAGAGGAGCAGAGGATGGCGGTGAGAAGCAGGATATGAATCAGCATGAGTGCTACAATCAGCAGCAGCAGGAGGAGGGGGGGGAGCCAGGAGGGAACGCGATGGCGGAAGCACGGTCTGCGGTGGGGATGCCGGAACTGGATACGAGTGAGCTGACGAGGCAGCTGGCGCTGCTCCACGTGGCGGACCCCCTCACCCACCTAGAGGGACTCGCTGCCTCTACCCCTACCTCTGCTACAACCTCTGCTACAACCTCTGCCTCGGCTTCTGCTTCTCCGAATGTTGCTGCTGGTGCCGGTGCTGGTGCTGGTGCGAAAGACGGATCGTGGAACTCGCCTCGATCTGGCAATAACAGTCCGCATTATCACTCCGGCGAGGTACGAACGCGAACATAATACCCTGCAGGTGGGACTAAAAGAAGGTGAAGCGTTGTTATCTGTTCTCTGATTGTCCGTTTCCCCTCCCACGCAAAGTCTCTGATTTCCTCTTTCCATCCCCCCTTGTCGTCCCAGCTTCCGTCACGTGTTTAGTCTCCTCATTGCCTTCATGTTTGGTGACACACGTTGCAGGTCAATCTCCAAGGAGTTCTGGGCAAAGCATTACGCGATGAATCATCGAGCAGCAAACAGCAGCAACTCCAGACTCAGCAGCACGAGAAGCAGCACCCTCATAGCCCGTACTACCAGCAGCACTTGCCCTCGGGCCAGAACGCCATGGGCATCCTACCAACACGGCCTGCCACGTGCACGCACAAGCACCTCTCCCACCACTCCTCCTTCCTCTCCCACCACGCCCACCACCAGCAGCAGCAGCAGCAGCAGCAAGAGCAGCAGAAGCATCTAGCTTCTCCCAGCTCCTCAGCCAGCACCATCGGCAAGAAGCTGCTGCGCCTGATGACGCTACCTGGCCGGCACTCCAATCGCGCCATTCTTCCGAGCCATTCACGGCCTGAAATCAGAGACAGCCCGCGGAGACAGCCCCGTGGTGGACGCTCGCTTGCAGGTGTGGAAGCGGCAGCGGCTGCTGCGGCTGCAGCAGCCAGGGCTGGCAGAGGGGCGCCATTGAACGGGCATGAGCATGTGCATGGGCATGAGCGTGGGCATTCGAAGCCACAGGTCTTGGAGATGCGCCCAACCATGTCCTCACCAGCGATTGATGGCATGACGTACATGATCTGAACTCACACTTCATCACATCTCATCAAATAAAGTCACACCACATTGCATCACAGGGCGACACATTGCACTAGGTGTTTTGCAGCCACCACCATATTATTTATAGCATCTACCAGCGCGCTTATTTTGTTTATGCAGAGTGGTCAAGCCCAAGTCTACCACACTTTTAGTGTACAATAAGAGTCTTTTTGTCATGGATGGTAACAAACTGCTGCGTGGGAGGCATTCATGGTTTTGTTTGTACCAAGTGCCTTCCATATGGACAGGAATGAGATGTATTAAGTCCAGGATGCTGGTCAACAAGGTAATCGGCTGGGTATGGGAGCGCAGAATATCATCATCACGACCATTTCTGTACATTCTAAGAGAGATTCCAAGTGAGAACGACCAGCCAAAGCTCCACAGGTTTCCCATTGTCCTATGTCTGTCTGCCCCTTAGTAACCCCTTCTACCATATGTCAGTTGCGTTTGTCCAGCCCGGTTGCCACACCCGTTACCCACTCGTCTTCTGGGACTCACACAAGGTAGAATTCTGTATTAAAGTGTTGTAGTAAGCCTTCTTACGATGCAGAACATTGAGTGTCCAGACCAGGGATACTCGTGGGATGTCCCACTTGCTAATGGGGAAGGAAGGAATTGTTGTGAGTTTGTTAACGGACAATGTTTTATTTAATAAGCATCTATGATTGTTTTTGTTTTGTACACATGGACCCCGCTAATTTTGTCAAACTGTATGTTTGTGCTATCTCTAGGCTATAGTGGGTTAGCCTACAAGGTGTACAACACTTTAGGGTTAGGTACTTGTACTCATGCATGCTACCTAGTCCACCATTCATTCCTGCTTATTCTAACATGGTATTAGAGCAGAATCGTTCCTAGGGCCCACCGAACGTTCCGCCCTGCCCTAACCGTAATTTTTTCTTCCTACGCTGCCCCCGCAGCCGCGCTGCCCTTGCAGCCCGCGTGCTGCCCCTGCGACCGCGCTGCCCCTGCAGCCGTACTCGCCCCTGCGACCGTGCTGCCCCTGCAGCCGTGCCTGCCCCTGCGACCGTGCTGCCCCTGCAGCCGTGCCTGCCCCTGCGACCGTGCTGCCCCTGCAGCCGTGCCTGCCCCTGTGGCCCGCGTGCTGCCCCTGCAGCCTGCGCGTTCGCCCCTGCAGCCCGTGGGCGCTGCCTCTGCAGCCCACGCGCCGCCCTGCCGAGCCGCGCGTCGCCCTTGCAGCCCGTGGGAGCTGCCCCTGCAGCCCGAGCGCCGCCCTGCCGAGCCGCGCGTTGCCCCTGCAGCCCGTGGGCGCTGCCCCTGCAGCCCGTACGCTGCCCTGCAGAGCCGCGCGTCGCCCCTGCAGCCCGTACGCCGCCCTGCGGAGCCGCACGTCGCCCCTGCAGCCCGTGGGCGCTGCCCCTGCAGCCCGCGCGCCGCCCTGCCAAGCCGAACGTCGCCCCTGCAGCCTGGGCGCCGCCCTGCCGAGCCGCGCGCCGCCCCTACAGCCCGCGCGCCGCCTTGCTGAGCTGCGCGTCGCCTCTGTAGCCCGTGGGCGCTGCCCCTGCAGCCCGTGCGCCACCCTGCCGAGCCGCGCGTCGCCCCTGCAGCCCGTGGGCCGCGCGCAACCCTAAACCCTAAAAAAAAAAAAAAAAAAAAAAAAAAACTACTACTGCTGCTGCTGCTACTACTCGTGCTACTGCTGCTGCTGGTGGAGGTGCTGCTGGGAGTGCAGGAGGTGCTGCTGGTGCTGTAGGAGCTGGAGGTGCTGGACCTACTCCTGACAGTCACTGTCTGTCATGGCCACTTCCGCGGAAGTTGCTGCGGTCAGGGGTGGACAGCAGCGGGCACTGCTTCTCCCGGACAACCCCACCCCTCAGCAGCTTCGTGAGTGGGTTATTCAGCGAGGTCGTCCTGGTGGTGGAGGTTATCGTTTTGTTAAGACTCCTCCTCTTAGTGCTAGTGAGTCTGCTGCTACTCCAGGTGCTAGTGAGTCTGCTGCCGCTCCAGGTGCTAGTGAATCTGCTGCAGCTCTAGGTGCCCGTGAGTCTGCCGACGCTCTAGGTGCTAGTGCGTCTCCTACCACAGGTCCTGCCTCAGCTGAGGTCTTGCACACTTTCACGCTTGACTCAGGCGCGTCACGTTGCTTCTTTCGTGATTGCACCACAGTCACACCACTCACAGCACCTGTCCTAGTCTCACTGGCTGACCCCTCTGGGGGCCCAGTAGTTGCGAGAGCCTCCACGGTCCTCCCTTGTCCAGCAGTCCCCTCCGGCTCTCTGTCAGGTCTCCACCTCCCCACGTTCTCGACGAACTTGGTGAGCAACGCTGCCATTCAGGATGTCTGGGTTGATACCTTTATTCCTGGAGGGCAGCGTGTGGCGATCTGTACGTGCTCCCGGACTGGCCGTCACCTGGCTACGTTCACTCGACAGCCTGGGTCTAGTCTGTACACACTGACCACTGCGTCTGCACAGGTGGCTGAGTCAGGTCAGGTGGCTGCGTCGAGTCGGGCGTCTGCGTCGGGGCAGTTCGCTGCGTCTTGCTCGTGCAGAGTACTCACGCACGAGACTCAGCGCTGGCACCACCGTCTTGGTCACCCCTCCCTGCAGCGTCTACGCAGTATGCACTCCCGTCTCCTTGTCTCTGGCCTCCCCAGGACCCTGCCCCCCCTCCCGCGCTCACTTGCGCCGCCGTGCCTTCCTTGCGTCGAGGGGCGGCAGCGCGCCGCTCCTCACTCCTCCGAGTTTCCTCCGACCAGTGCTCCTCTGCAGACTCTCCACCTGGACGTGTGGGGCCCGGCCCCAGTCGGTGGGACGGACCTGGAGCGCTACTTCCTGCTGGTTGTTGACGACTACACATGCTACACCACAGTCTTCCCCTTGCGTCGCAAGGCGGACGTCAGCGGTGTTTTGATCCCGTGGATCCCTGCTGCTCGACTCCAGCTGCACGAGCGCTTTCAGCAGGACTTCCCAGTCCTGCGTCTGCACTCTGACAGGGGTGGTGAGTTCTCCTCTGGCGTCCTTGAGACGTCCTGCCAGGATGAGGGCATCCGCCAGTCGTTCACGCATCCGGCCTCTCCGCAGCAAAATGGGATCGCTGAGCGTCGCATTGGCCTGATCATAGAGGTTGCTCGTACCTCCATGATCCATGCGGCTGCTCCCCATTTCCTGTGGCCGTTTGCGGTCCGATACGCTGCGCATCAGCTCAATCTCTGGCCCCGTGTCTCTGCTCCAGAGACCTCGCCCACACTCCGTTGGACGGGACAGCCTGGTGATGCGTCGTCGTTTCGGGTCTGGGGCGCGCTCTCCCTTGTTCGCGATACCAAAGCGAGCAAGCTCTCTCCTCGCACGCTCCACCCTGGCAGTTCTACCACCCTGCCTCGCGTCGTGTTCTGTCCTCTCAGGACGTCACATTCGACGAGTCGGTCTGTTACTACCGACTTCACCCACACGCGTCCCACCCGGTCCCCCTCGCGCCTCTCTTCCTAGTACCAGTCCCCCCCCCCGGTAGACCCCCTTCCCCCACAGGGTCCTGCTCCCTCAGGTGTGTCCCAGGTAGACCCACCCCCCTTGGATGAGCCAGTTAAGATCTTTTCTGACTCCTCTGACTCAGCTGAGGGGGGTGACGCCGTCGCCGACGACACGGCGACCACTCGCCACACTCCTCGCTTGGAGACCCCCCCGATTTTCCCGCCTCGGCCGTCTTCGCCACCTCCGCAGCCTGCTGCTGTAGACTCTGGAGCTGAGGCTGCTAGAGCTGGGCCTGGGAGTGGTACGTCTGGGGGTGACTGCTCTCCTCGTTTGGCTACCCCCCCCGGTTTCCCACCTCTGCAGCATTCTGCAGTGGACACTGGAGCTGAGACTGAGGGTCCTGAGCCTGCGGGTGCTGGGACTGAGCGTATTGAGCCTGCGGGTGCTAGGACTGAGAGTACTGAGCCTGCGGGTGCTGGGACTGAGGGCACTGAGCCTGCGGGTGCTGGGACTGAGGGTACTGAGCCTGAGGGTACTGAGCCTAGGGGTACTGAGACTTTGGGTGCTGACTCTGGGGGTGCTGAGACTTCGGGTGCTGACTCTGGGGGTGCAGCGAGTCCTTCTTGAGGTACTGGAGCTGGAGGTACTGGAGCTACTAGGCCTGGAGGTACTACTGGAGGTACTGGAGCTGCTACTGGTGCTGGAGGTGCTGGAGCTGGGGGTACTGGAGGTGCTTCTGGTGCTGGAGGTTCTAGAGCTACCACTACTGGAGGTACTGGAGCTGGACAGCCACCACAACCTGCTCTACTTGAGACACTCTCGCCGCAGGCGATTTGTGCGTGGGTCGTTCGGCGAGGCAGTCCTGGTGGTGGAGGGTACGGTCCCGCTGGTGCTGGAGCTACTAGTCCAGGAGGTGCTGCTGGTGCTGGAGGTACTACTGGAGGTACTAGAGGTACTGCTGGTGCTGGAGGTGCTGCTGGTGCTGGGGGTACTGGAGCTGCTGCTGGTGCTAGAGGTGCTGACCCTGGAGGTGCTGGTGCTGGAGGTACTGGAGGTGCTGAAGCTACTGGTCCCGGAGGTGCTCGTACTGGAGGTGCTGGAGCTGCCGGAGCAGGTGGTGCTGCTGGTGCTGGAGGTGCTGGAGGTGCTACTGGAGCTGCTGGCACGGGAGGTACTGGAGGTACTACTGGTGCTGGAGGCGCTGGAGCTGGAGCTGGAGGCACTGGAGGTGCTGGAGGTACTACTGGTGCTCGAGGTGCTGGCGCTGTCGGAGCTCGTGGTGCTGGAGGTGTTGGTGCTACTGGTGCTGGAGGTGTTGCTGGGGGTACTGGAGGAGCTGCTCGTGTTGGAGGTACGGGAGCTACTGGTGCTCTTCGCCACCTTCTCAGTCTTCCGCCAGATGCTACTGGCTTCCCTGTGGCAGGTACTACTCCTCCGTTGCTGTGTCCGCCAGCGGACCAGTCACAGCCACCGCTGCTACCACACTCCCCACTGCCTGCTCCTGCTCCTTACACTGCAGTGTCACAGTCCCTGACTGAGCGTCGAGAGCCTGAGACTCGTGCTTCCACCCCTGAGCGTCGAGAGCCTGAGTCTAGCTTTGACCTTGAGCCTGAGCCTAGAGCTGCTGTCCGTGCTCGTGTTCCTCGTGTTCGTCGTCCGCGTGCTCCGGCTGTCCCCGGCACTCACGATATGACACTCCGTCCTTCCTCTGTTCCTCAGCGTGTTGTACTACCGTTACCTCCTGCGTCCTCTCTGCCTGACGTTGCTGACCCTCCGTCTGACCTTGCTCGTGCGTCCAGACCGACTGTTACTCGCCTTCTTGCTACGGTTGTGACGGACCCTACGTTCTCGTCTCCTGCTGCGTCTACCCTAGTAGCTGAGCTCGTTGACTTTGCTGCTGTGTACCGCCTCAACTACCTTGCGAGTCTTGTCTCTGACCCTGTCCCTGCCTGTCCTCCGTCCGTCGGGGGTGAGACTGCTCTTGGCTGTACTGCCCTTGGCTGTGACGTTCTTGAGGACAGACAGGAGGAGCTGGAGTGCCTTGCTGCCGCTTCACCCCATCACGCGACCATGCTGCTTGCCCCTGAGGGAGACCCGGATGCACTTGACATCCCCACCCCGCGCTCCTACAGGGAGGCGATTTTGGGTGAGTACTCCTCTCAGTGGCAGACAGCCATGGACGCAGAGATGGCTTTCTGGAAGTCCACGGGCACCTACGTCGACGAGGTTCCCCCACCTGGGGCGAACGTCGTCAGTGGCATGTGGATTTTCAGGGTGAAGCGGCCGCCGGGTTCTCCGCCTGCCTTCAAGGCACGTTACGTTTCTCGAGGCTTCAGTCAGCGTGAGGGGGTCGAGTTCTTTCAGACCTTCTCCCCCACCCTGAAGATGACCACTCTTCGGGTGTTGCTACACGTTGCAACTCAGCGTGACTACGAGCTGCACTCCCTCGACTTCTCGACAGCTTTCTTGCAGGGTAGCCTTCACGAGGCCATCTGGTTGCGCCGTCCACAGGGCTTCACTGGGTCGTTTCCTGAGGGTACCCAGTGGAGCCTACGGCGACCAGTGTACGGCCTGCGTCAGGCGCCCCGCGAGTGGCACGACACACTGAGGACGACACTTGCGGCTCTTGGGTTTGCTCCTTCGATTGCTGACCCGTCGCTGTTTCTACGCACCGACACTACTCTGCCGCCGTTCTACATCCTCGTGTACGTCGACGACTTGGTTTTTGCTACTGCTGACACTGAGGCACTGGCCCTAGTGAAGGCGGAGCTGCAGGAGAGACACACATGCACTGACCTGGGTGAGCTGCGGAGCTATCTTGGCTTGCAGATCACCCGGGACAGACCACGGCGCACCATCACCCTCACTCGGTCACACATGGTGCACCAGGTCCTTCAGCGCTTCCGCTTCACGTACTCCTCGCCACAGCCCACTCCTCTGGCTACCGGCCACTCGCTCTTTGCTCCACCTTCGGACGAGTCCGTAGAGTCGAGTGGTCCGTACCCAGAGCTTGTGGGTTGCCTCATGTACCTGATGACGTGCACACGACCTGACCTCGCGTACCCTCTTAGCCTTCTGGCTCGCTACGTGGCACCCGGTAGACACCGAAAGGTGCACTTTGATGTTGCGAAGAGGGTACTGCGTTACTTGTGCAGCACATCGGGCATGGGGCTCGTGCTTGGAGGACGGGGTTCGGTGGTCCTCACAGGACACTCTGACGCTTCTTGGGCCGACGACCTTCAGTCTCGGCTCTGGTTCTGTCTCGTGGAGGTCCACTCGTTCTTCTTCTGTGCTTGGTTCCAGCTGTGAGGCCGAGATCTACGCTGGGGCCATGGCTGCACAGGAGCTACGCTGGCTGACCTACCTGCTGACCGACTTGGGGGAGCGGCCTCGTTCTTCTCCAGTTCTGTACGTCGACAACAAGGCAATGCTTGCATTGTGTCGCGAGCAGAGACTGGAGCACAGAACGAAGCACATTGCTCTTCGCTACTTCCTTGCGCGTGAGTTGCAGCAGCGTCGTCAGCTGCGCCTTGCTTACGTGGCCTCTCGGGCCAACACTGCTGATGTTTTCACCAAGGCCCTTGGGTCTGGTGATCATCAGCGTTTTTGCACTGCTCTTGGGCTTGTGCCCACTCTGCCTCACCTGCTGGTTGCTTGACTTGCTCTTGTTGTACACTGATATATATCTTTATACCTGCTTGTTTACTCTTGCTAGGTTGTGATCAGTGTACTGCCTTGCTATTATAACTCTGCATGTGAACTGGCCTTGAGGCCGCTTGCTTGTGCTCAGATTGTGTGGTGTCCTTGAGATCCACCCTGAGCTTTGCTTTGCTTTGCTTGTTCTCTTGCTTGACTGGTCTTGTGACCGTCTGTTGTGTTTGCTATCTCCCACTTAGCCTATGGGGGTGTGTCAAACTGTATGTTTGTGTTATCTCTAGGCTATAGTGGGTTAGCCTACAAGGGGTACAACACTTTAGGGTTAGGTACTTGTACTCATGCATGCTACCTAGTCCACCATTCATTCCTGCTTATTCTAACAAATTTCACACCCCTGGGCAACTATTTCTGGTTGATATGAAACGTTGGGGGTTGTATGTGGGGGAACACGAAGGAGGTCGCAACCAGATTTGGGGCGATGCGTTGTGGTCAAAGAGCGGAAACTGTACTGCATTCGTCACATTAGCTTGAGATGTATCAACGAGAATGTACTCGTTATCATCCCCTTCCCCCACAATGCGTTCCTCCAGGTTCATTTGTTCAACTCCATGCTTATGATTCTGACCCAATCGCCCCACATTGTTCACTTCAAACAACCCTTTGATGCTGCGGAAACGGGAATAGACAACAGGAGCTGAAGGCTCGGGTTGCAGGGCGTTGCACCCTGATTATATTGCTTTTCAGAGTTGAAGGTTGCGCTGTCCTGTTAAAAGTGGGTGGGGAGTCTCTTGACCCCGCCCTTCCACGCTTTGGGTATTACGGGGAAAACACGATTCTCCCGAACGGCACCCTGCCATTTGGTAGGGCTGGGCAAAACAAACCGAGAGTTCTCATACCTCGAAAGGGTGAATCTGGACTCCCCCAGTCCAGCTCGGCAATGTATTCAGATCTTCCCTTGATGCTGAATGGGCGGTTCGGCGTTGTTGATGCCAGCGCGGGCAGGAATTTTGAGGAGACTTCACTCACCAATCCACTCCCTCGTCACATCGCATTGCATCTGTCTGCATCGCATGGCATATGTCTTCATCCTTGAATAGACACATGCAATGCATACTCGCCTCTTTCCAGAAACAGTCCATCCCATCAACACAGCATTTGTAAAGCGCAACCCAGGCCTCAATTAGCACAAGCAAGAAAGTTGCTGCTCGCACTTCGTCACTCTTTTCTGAAGTCCCATTTCTCCCTCGCTCTCTCCCTCTAGCACTGTCACAGCAGTTCGCCACTGTGACCTGAAGTCGCGTTGCGCCTCGTCGCATCCACCATGGCCACCTCGCATGTCCTCGTGTGCCTGCCGGACGGATCCATACGTCTCTTCGACGAGCCGCTCCTCATTGCGCGCGACGTGCTTCGCGATTTCCCGCACTACGACCTCTTCCTCTCGCCCACACCACTGGGCGACGATCGCGGCCGCGTCTACGACTGCGATAGCGTTTGCGACGACGACGACGCTCGTAGCACCGTCTCCTCCGCCGCTGGCGACGGCGGCGCCATCACGAAATCCACAGCAGCTTCCGAGGCGCGGCGCTTCGATCCAGTGAACCCCCACCGCTGCTTGAAATCCGGGTCCATGTACTACCTCATGCCGCGCCGCGAGTACGCGTGGAAGTGCCAGCTCCAAGAGGCAGAGGCGGCGGAAGCGGCGGCGGCGAGGATGACGACGAAGAAAGGCCATGAGACGGGTCTGGACAAGGACAACTTATCGAGTAACAAAATGGATCATAAGTTGAATCGTCACGGTAATAGTAATGGCTGCCGTCATCTCGCGGCGCGGGAGACATCGCCCGTGTCGCCCGCGCCGTCGCACACATCGTCGAACAACACGTCGTCGCCATTGTCCGGCGAAGCGTCCCCACCGCCAGTGGTCAAGGCAACTCCCGTCAACACGGAACCACCGGACTGTCGCACCCATGCAATGACTATTACCTCTACTATCATCAGCAGCGCTGCTACTACTACAACTACCAGTGGTAGCTCAAGTACAAGCAGCAGCGGCTCTAACGACATTCCTGAATGTGTCACATCTGACGGTGGAGACGGGCTGCACGAGGCTCATCATCATCCGGCGACGGCCTTTCCGCACCAAATGCCGCACTTTCTGGAGAGTTCTTCTGAGGCATTTGCGCGACAGGACGCGTTGGGAATGAGTTTCGCGGCGCCTCAAGTCCCGTCTCCGTGCCAAATGCACTTCGGCGGCTTGACGTTCCCGGGCGACTCGTCGGACGGTGTTGCACGACCGGACGCGGCGGCGGCAATGACGGGATTCGAGTACGACGAGTCGCAGCTGATGCTCATGCTGTTGCTGCAGCAGCAGTCCATGCTGCACCAGCAGCAGCAGCAGCTGCTCGAGGCGCGCCGGTGGGCGGAGGAAGCCGCGGCGGCGGCGCACGTTGCCGCGCCGTGGGCCCCGCCGCAGACCACCATCCCCAGCGAGCTCCAGATCAGCGCCGTTGCGGGCGCCGAGGACGGCGGGGAGGCGCAGGAGTCACTTCGGCATGAGTGCTACTACCAGCAGCAGCCGCAGCAGCCGCCGCCGCAGCAGCAGCAGAAGGAGCGGGAGGAGGAGGCAGGAGTGGGTGCGAAAGCGGAAGCACAGGCTACAGCGGGGCCGCGTGCACTGGATACGAGTGAGCTGGCGAGGCATTTGTCGCTTCTCCACGTGGCGGACCCTCTCGTGCACCTCGAGGGACTCACTGCCTCTACACCTACCTCTGCTCCCGCCTCTGCGTCTACGTCTGCTGCTGATGTCACTGCTGCTAATCCTGCTGCTGATGCTTTTACTCCTGCTGCTACTGCTGCTGCTGCTGCAAAAGTTTCTGCTCGTGCCGGAATGAGCGCGGTAGGTGGCGTGAAGCACGGATCGTGGGACTCGCCGCGATGCGGAAAAGGCAACCAGCGTCGTCACTTCGGCGAGGAACTAGTGCCGCCGTACAACGGGGGCGGAAATAAGGAGGTGATGGCTTGCTATGTGTCCTCGGAACGCTAATCCTTTCCTCTTTTCCGCAGCGCTAGCTAATCTCCGGTTTTCCATTTCCCGTTTTTGTCCCCTGTTGCCATCTGAGGTTTTTCCGCCCCCCCTCATTGCTTCCATGTTTGGCGATGCACATTGCAGGCAAATCTCCAAGAGCTTTTGGGCGACACACTGCGCGATGCACCATCGGAGAGCAAGCAGCTGCAGGTCCAGACACAGCAGCACGAGAACCTGCAGCACCACAGCATATTCTACCTGCAGCACTTGCTTTCCGGCCAGAACGCCATGGGAGTATCGCCACGACCTGCCACATGCACGGACAAGCACCACGCCCAGGAGCAGAAGAAGCATCACCTATTCGCTCACAGCACCTCGTCCAGCGCGATCGGCAAGAAGCTGCTGCGGCTGATGACGTTACCGGGCGTGCGGCCCTCCAATCGCTCCATCCTTCCGGGCCAATCGCGGGCGGAAATGAGAGACAGCCCGCAGAGACGGTTCGGTGGTGGAGGCGCGCTGGCCGCCGTGGAAGCAGCAGCGGCTGCTGCAGCTGCAGCAGCCCGGGCTGGGGGCCGGACATCGTTGAATGGGCATGGGCGAGGTCGTGCACATGCGCATGGGCATGGGAATATGCATGGGCATGGGCATGCCCATTCGCAGCCTCGGCTCTTGGAGATGGGCCCAACCACCACGTCTCCTCCTCCACCATCGGACGACGGGATTTCGTACATGATCTGAGCTCACACCACGTTTACATTGCATCATCTCATGGCTCGCATGACGCATGGCGCTGAAGACGCCGGGGAGCAGAAACCATGGGACAGCACAAAGCAATGGAACACATCCACTCTCGTCTCGTACCCCCTTTCTTTTTTATTGGATGCACTATGTGGTATGCATCTATTTACCACTACCCTAGGTTTAGTTAGCATACACAGTGCTCATCTCTACTTGGGTAGGGAGTGCGGTGGTCCTCTGGCCCGCCATGGAATGTACAATATATATTTATTATTTTGTACTGCATGATACCATGCTGTTGCTGCTTGCCATACTGAGATGTTAGTCAACTACATTTGAGCCGCTGGACGACTTTGATAGGATAGGATACCATCCCATATGCGTGTCTCATGTCACAATCGACCCATGTCAGTGTGCCTGCAGAGCGCACAGCCGCACTGCACCAAGCCCACCACCCATCATCTCCCACTCGATTTACGGTATGTGAACCGCCCTACAAATGAGGCAATCACTACTCAAGTTCTTCTTATCCTGCGAGAACACATTTCTCCGCCACAAGCGTTATCCTCTCCCCCCCTAATCTCGCATCTGGATAGGCCGACGACGCGATACACAAGCCTGGGTGATGGCTCGCTGGGATCAGGGAGGCAGTCGGGGCTACAGCATACGGTATTGGACTTGAGCACGACCAGAATAACAAGGTACGGTATGCGCTGTGACACAGTTGCCTGCCCGTCGTGGCTACAGCATATCGTATACGACTTGAGCTTCGCGAGTGTATTACATGATTCTGAGTGTTTTGCGTGCTCTGAGTTGTGGGTCTCATAGAAGCTTCAGGTGCCCTGTGACTCCACTCACTAAGTGCTCAGGACCTGTGTGCATGGAGGTGAGGGTTTAGGTAAGGTTTTAGGGAGCAGGGTGCCCAGAGGGAGGGAGAGGGGAAGGGAGCAAGAAAGGGAGAAGCAGAAAAGAGATTCATTGGATGAGTGTGCCGGCTTCCTCATGCTTCTTTAGGGCATGGCTTGGAGGGATGGAAGCCATGCAATGCAAGGGATGCAGGGATGCAGGGATGCAAGGGAAAGAGCTTCGACGAGTTTTATGAGACCTGTCGCTGGAGCATCATGACATACTCTATCCAAACTGCTTACCGATGATGGCCATGACTGTCTTTGAATCTACACCGTTGGAGTGATTGACAGGCATGAGGGGCATGCAGAGGGGCGGGCAGAGGGGCACGCAGTGGGGCAGGCAGAGGGGCAGGCAGAGGGGCAAGCAGTGAAGAAAGCAGAGGGGCACAAAGAGAGGCAAGCAGAGGGGCACGAAGAGGGGAGGGGAAGGCAGAGGGGCAAGGAGAGGGGCAAAGCAGAGGGGCACGAAGAGGGGCAGGCAGAGGGGCAGGGAAGAATCACAGTAAGAGGCACAATAAGTAACACGGATGAATATGAGCCTGTTGACTTTTGAATCGACTCAAAAGCAACACGGATGGATGTGAACCTGGAAACGGGCGGCACATGGCATACATGATGAGGGGGGCCGAAGGGGGCTTGAGAGGGGCCAGAGGGGGGCCGAAGGGGGCACGTGCGAGTGGAACGAACACAGCAACGAGGCACTGAAGGAAGAGAAACGGACGTTACAGGAAAGCCACATGAGGCACAACAGGACGATGGTCGAGCGAGTAAGTGAGTGAGTGAGTGATCGAGTGAGTGAGTGAGTGGGTGAGTGAGTGGGTGAGTGGGTGGTGTGTGAGTGAGTGAACGAGGCAGATGAAAGACAACATACTGGGCTCGATCTGTGTTCTGCCCGCATCGATTGTGATGTGCGTTGGGAGACTGGACTTCTTTGCCTTGTCCTGCGCAGAGTGAGAGGGCATGCATGCGATGGGATGGGATGGGATAGGATAGGATAGACGCAGATGACACGATGATTGTGGATTCTGGACTGGCACATGAGCTCTGATAGAATGTGATTCCACTGCAACAAGGGATGGGACAGAGGATTGGGTAAGGTAACGTGTGGAGGACATGAAGAAAGGATGGAAGGAAGGGTGGGAGGGAGGGAGGGAGGGAGGGAGGGAGGGAGGGAGGGAGGGAGGGAGGGAGGGAGGGAGGAAGGAAGGAAGAAAGGAAGGAAGCCAGGAAGGAAGGGAGCGAGGGAGCGAGGGAGCGAGGGAGCGAGGGAGCGAGGGAGCGAGGGAGCGAGGGAGCGAGGGAGCGAGGGAGCGAGGGAGCGAGGGAGGGGGGCAAGGGCACCTGCAGAATGATGAGCTCCTCCTCTGAGTCCACTTTCACCACCACCTTCACCTGCCCGTTCTCGTCCCACCTGCATGCAGGGCACGCAGGGCACACAGCACGAAATAGAGATGGTCAGGGAAAGGCATTGTGCAAGTGTGAGTGCACATGCATGAGCGATACGATACGATACGCTGGAGAATGATGTGGGGGGGGGCGAGCAGGGCGAAGGGGACGGGGAGGGAGGGAGGGGGGATGGAAGGAGGAAGAGAGGGCGGGAAGGAGAGAGGGAGGAACGGCAGGGAGGAATGCTTATGGGGAGAAATGGAAGGGGGGCAGAGGTGAGGCATGGAGGATGAGGAGCAGGGAGGGAGCAGCAGCTGACCCACCTTTGCAAGGCTGTGGGCGCTCTCTTGGCGAGTCTCTTGTACAGGCCGAGTGTGGCGTGACTGGTGGGGGGGCGGACAAGCAGCGAGGGAGAAAGAGTGGAATGGGGACGAGAGGCAGAAGAAGAGTGAAAGGGAGAACAGGGGAAGGAGAGGGAGAGGGAGAGGGAGAGGGAGAGGGAGAGGGAGAGGGAGAGGGAGGAGAGGAAGAGGGAGGAGGGAAGGAGGGGATACAGAAATGATGTGTTGGAGAGAGACGGGGAGAAGAGCAGACGCGAGCGAGTGAGGTACTGCGTTGTGTGTGTGTATGATAGGTAGGCAGGCAGGCAGGTCAGCGGGAGGGAAGGAGGGCAAACAGAGAGCCAGACAGATGGAGAGACAGACGGAGCGAGTAAGGGATAGGGCGCACGATGGGTGGACTGTGGAAGGATGGATGAGAGTGGGGAGGCCTCACCCGCACTGCGCGCCAATCTTGCCCTTGCCCATTTTCAAGTCGCTCCGCACCACCAGCACCTGCAATCCCAAGGCCCGCACACGGCCACGTCGCGGCACGTCAGGGAATGGTGCGTGCGTGCGGCACAGTGCGGTGGGTGATGGCATGGCATGTTATGGTATAGTATGGCATGGCATGGCATGTCATGCGAGATGCGGTGATGCCATGGTGGATTCGAGGGAACAGCAGCAGCAGCAGCAGCAGCAGCAGCAGCAGCAGCAGCAGCAGCAGCAGCAGCAGCAGCAGCAGCAGCAGCAGCAGCAGCAGCAGCAGCAGCAGCAGGAGCAGCAACAGCAGCAGCAGCAGCAACAGCAGGAGCAGCAGCAGCAGCAGCAGAAACACGAGGAGACGATGAGGCGCCAGTGGATCAACGCGGAGTGGTTCAACGCCATGATCGGGCCACTGGAGTCACACACGCGCACGGGCGGCCAAGTCAACTAGCTGGACGGGCCACTGGGCTGACGGCTGAACGGGTTACTGGAAGTACCCGATAGCCAGCTAACTCAGCCGCCAAACGGCACGATATGGCAGCCAGCGGTCTCCCGCGCACGAAACACGCACGGCACACGGACGGCACACGCATGACACACGCACGGCACACGCACGGCACACGCACGGCACACGCACGGCACACGCACCATCTTGAAGTCCTCAAACTCCCGCGCCATGCTATCCAGCTCCAAGAGCGCGCCCCCCTTCCCCCCCTTGCCCGAATTCTTCCCGCCAGCGCCCCCCGCGTTCTCCTCGTGCCACGCCTGCAGCTCCAGCAGCGCTCGCCGCCATCGAGTGGAGGAGACTAAGTGGCCGCAGAAGCAGCCCACCGCGAAAACGCCGACTCCAGCCGCCGCGAGCAGCGGCCAATTGGTCGACATGGAGACGCGAAATCAAAGCTGCGCGCCGATTACTTTTGTGATTTGCCAAAGCTGTAAGTCGTGATGAGGCTGGAACTGCGCAAGCTGCTAAATGGACAGCTCGTGATATTACAAGCTTTGGGTTGAAGGATTCTCAAATATTTGCACTGCCTTGATCGTGGCAGTTCGCCGTCCTTACGGTATCCGAATCGTGGGAGGTTCAGAGATAGCGATTCGGGTGGCGAGGAACGGAAGGGGTGTTGCGACTAGTTTGGTTCCAAGCAAGTAACCATGAGCAGTTCTGCATATAACCAAACCCGAAACCCTTCGATCAAACATAGGGATTTGATGAGGTGCTTCATTTTGTGAGTTAATATAGCGTAGATATATTACAAACTGTTCCACTGAGAACGTAGACCTAATATCGAAGAGCTACTGAAAGGTTTTGCAGCGGCCAGAGAGTGAGCTCCACGTGGATGAACGCGTGGACGCACACGGACCCCTTCCTCCAGGGATCTCTCATCGAGTTTGGGAGTGTCGCAACGAGTATGCGAATTTCGCCGACCTCAACCCATTACAGTACGACGAGTACACATCGCTCCCATCTCTCTTGATTTGTGCGTATTGTCACAACATTTTTCGTCCACCAATCGTGCTTGAAAGAGTCTCTTCGGCGGTTCGGGACCTCACCGCCTCACATCATGCCGAGCCTGCATCAGCACCACTTCTCATTTCACACTCACGACTCATCAGTCAGTCATTTCATCTTGGAGCTGCTGCTGCCGCTGTCAATGCAGCTGCTGCTGCTGCTGCTGCTGCAAACATCCCCACCCCATCTCTCAACACACAACACGATCTCCGCTTCCATTAGCCGCCCCGTCGACTCCGGCGCCTGCGCCGTGCCGCCTGCATACGTCACATTGGACTCCGCTCGCGCTTATCGCATGAAGCGCAAAATATGTAATTTACAGTTCCATCGATCATCGTTGTGAAGAAGAGACCGTAATTCTCAATATACACGAAATGAGATAATTAATTATTCCAATATTCTTACCAGGGGGTATATTTCCGCCCGCCCACAATGCGCAGCCCCGCCGCGGCTGGGTTGTTCCTCCAGCCGTCCACGAATCTCTCGCAAACCGTCGCAAATGCCACATCCGCCGCTTTGCAAAGCGCGATTCTCGCCGTTAATTCCGCATTACTCCCACTTCCCGCCACGCGATCATCCATGTTTCCGCCCATAATCTCCGGCGATGCGGAAGCGGGTCAATTCCACCCAGACAACACGGGCGCGGCTCTGGCTTCCGGCGCAGGGGTAGCCCTCGGCGGGGGAGGGGGAATGGGGGGAATGGGGGGAATTGCGGAAATTGGGGGAATCGGGGGAGCGATGCGGGCGGCGGGCGGGGACGACGAGATGGCGCGCGCGATGGAGAGCCTGATTCCCGCGCTGTGGCAGTCGTTCGCGGTGATCCTCATCGGATACGCGTGTGTGAAGCTTGAAGTGGTGAAGCCGCAGCACAAGCAAGTACGGCGCCTCCTCTCCTCTGCTCCCCTTACCGCTCCGCCCATCCGCTCCATGCCCTAGTACCCCCACCCTTTTCCCCCTTCCTCGCCCCGGGCGCGCCTCCCCACCCCTCCTCCCGCTTTTCCCTTGATGATGGGCCACTCTGCCTCTCCCACGATTCCCACCCCCAGAGCCCTCGGAACCTCGGCCATGGAGTCCGTTCCACGTGGTCTTGGTCCAACCAGATGGGCTGTGTTGTGTTGTCGATGCTCTGTGAGCTGTGAACTACTTGAAGTCACATGCAGGTTCCTATGCATCCCTTCGCCCATGTCAGACCTCTTAAGCGTCCCTCTGTCTTTCCCCTGCTCATTCTTGCCTTCCACGCCCGCCTCCTGCCGCTGCCGCCACGGGCAGGGTCTGTCGCTGTTTGTGACGAAGCTGGCACTGCCGGCGCTGCTGTTCTCGGGCATGGCGTCGCTCGACTTCTCCAAGGTCAACTGGTCCTTCCTCCTCGCCGTCACCATCGGCAAAACCGCCGTCTTCTTCCTCGCCCTCGGTGCGTGCGTGCGTGCGTGCGTGCTGCCGCGCGCCTGTATTGGTCACCCCTGGCTGTGGTGCAGAAAGAGGATTCATGCTGGCTTGAATCGAGGCTCCCGGGTTTTGGATTGTGAATCTTTTCCAGCCCTTCCGCCGGTGTATGCTGTGCTGTGTGCTGCAATGCTGTGCTGTTCTGAGCCGTGCGGTGCTGTGCTGTGCTGTGCTGTCCCGTGCTCTGCTGCCCTGTGCGGTGCTGTGCTTTCCTGCTGACTGATTGGCCCCCCTCCATCCTCGTCCCCTGCCACCACGCACTGACATTCCTGAAATGCTTACGGCGTGGCGTGGCGTGGCGTGGCGTGGCGTGGCATGGCATGGCATGGCATGATGGGGCAGGCATAACGATGCTGCTGGACATTGGGAAGCCGCAGGTGGTGGGCACGGGAGCAGTGAACGGCATCTTCGTGTCCCAGTCCAACGACTTTGCTCTCGGCCTCCCCATCTTCCAAGTAAACCCCAACCCCCCTCCCATTCCCTTCGCTTCCCTCCCCTTCTGGCAAACCAGCGCACGCTGCACGCAGCTACAAACCGCAATGTCGGGGTTTTTTTATGTCCCTCCTCTTCGCCCATACCCCCCGTCATGCTCTGTCTCTCCCTGCCTGATGTCGCCACGCCACTTTGTGGCACCTCGCTCCTCTCGTTTCCCTCCTGTACTGCGGTCTACAAACTGCAGTTTTAGCTCTTCTCTCATCCTCCGTCTAATGTTCCCTTCTTGCCTCCCCATCTCCCTACCTCTTCTACTCTCGTTTCCTTCCTCTTCTGCTCACCATCCCTCCCCCTGTCACCACCATCCCCCCTCCCTCTCCACCTTCCCCACGGTGTGTGCGAGCAGCCCATATTCGGCGCCCTTCACCCCGAGTACATCGGATACCTCTACTCTACCTCATGACTTTTGAGTCGACTCAATAGCGCCCACTCCTCAGAATTCTCAGTGTCTCCCCACCATCCATCCCCTCCCTCCACCCTTCTCCACGGTGTGTGCGAGCAGCCCATATTCGGCGCCCTTCACCCCGAGTACATCGGATACCTGTACCTCGTGGCGCCCATCTCGCTCATCTTCCTCAACCCCCTCGGATTCCTTCTCATGGAGTCGGACCGAAAGGGCGGACCAGACGGGGAGGAGGGGGAGGAAGAGGAGGACGAGGACGGGGAGGAGAGGGTAGGAGGGCGTGGTGTGCGGGATGGGAGGGAGGGGGAGGGGGATCCCTGGGAGTGCTGTGACTTGGTGCCTGAAGGGGAAGAGGCTGCGCTGATGGCTCTTGAAGAGGAGAAGCAGAGGGATGGGGAGCCGGGGGGAGAGAGGGGCGGAAAAGGGGCTGTGCGTGAGAAAGGGAAGGAGGAGGGGAGACAGAGGAGGGGAAAGGAAGCTGTGGGTGAGAAGGGAGAGGACGATGGGGGAGGGGAGAGTGTAGAAGTGGAAGAGAGGCGAAGGTTGCTTCCCATAAGTTCTGGTTCAGGTCCTGGTTCAGGTTCGGGCTCAGGTTCTGGTTTGGGATTGGGATTGGGTTCTGGTAGTACAGGTGAGGCTGCTTCAGCAGAGCGACCTTCCGTGGCCAGTCATGCTGGTTCACCTTCTCCCACTGCTCCTTTTCTGAAACACAACTCCACTACAGCCTCCACTGCTGCCACCGTGACTGCGGCCGCTGATGCAACCGCCACCGCCGCCGCCGCTACCGCCGCTGCTGCTGCTGCTTCTGCAGCTGCTGATGGGGCGACTGGCGCTGGTTCAATCCCTAGCAGCAGCAGCATGGGCCGCAAGAGCAATCCGCAGCAGAGCAATCCGTCTCACCACGTGCGCTCCCTCAGCGGCTCAGGCACCCGCAGCAGCAGCGCTGCTCCCCCCCCCCCCTTCGCCCTTCACTGCTGCCTCTCCCCCCAAATCCCTCCGCTCCTCCCTCCTATCCCCGTCCCTCCTCTCCCTTCCTCCACCTCCTCAGACGTCCTCACTCTCCCATCCGCCAACCACCACCGTCTCCCTCGCCCCTTCCCCCTCCACATCCCTCGCCCCTGTACACGCCTCGCTTGCCCCATCGCCACTCTCCCGCGTGCTGCCTTCGCCCCTTGGCCCCCCGTCTCCTGTTGCCGCTGCTACTGGGCCTGGAATGAGCGATGGTGCAGGGGCGACCGCTGGTGGCGCCGGCGTGAGCGGTGGTGGGGATGGGGGAGGAGGAGGGGCAGTGGATTTGCCGCAAGGGTGGACGAGGAGAGCGTATACAGGGAAGCTTGCGGCTGGCGGCGGGGGTGGGAAGTTGGTGGGGGCGCGGAGTGGGAAGCGGAAGGGGAGGGGAGGAGCGCGGAGCCACATGCGCATGTGGAAGGTGCTGTATGGGGTGTTTGCATCGCCCGTGGTCTTCATGGTGAGACACCTCTGGGGGGGACACCCGTCGTGCTAGGGTGTGTTTTTTAGTCAGACTCTAAAACGGGTGCTGTATGGGGTGTTTGCATCGCCTGTGGTCTTCATGGTGCGACACCTCTGAGGGGACGCTCGTGCTTGGGTGTGCATGTGGGTGTGCATGTGGGTGTGCATGTGGGTGTGCATGTGGGTGTGCATGTGGGTGTGCATGTGGGTGTGCATGTGGGTGTGCATGTGGGTGTGCATGTGGGTGTGCATGTGGGTGTGCATGTGGGTGTGCATGTGGGTGTGCATGTGGGTGTGCGTGTGGGTGTGCATGTGGGTGTGCATGTGGGTGTGCATGTGGGTGTGCATGTGGGTGTGCATGTGGGTGTGCATGTAGGTGTGCGTGTGGGTGTGTGTGTGGTTATGCATATGGGTGTGTGTGCGTGTGTGTGTGCGTGTGGGTGTGTGTGTGGGTGTGCGTGTTGGTGGTCTTGCATATTTTCGGAGCGAGTTTCACCCTGTCTCACTAGTTTGCTAGTCGCTCCACTTTGCTCTTGCTTCCTCTCTGCCCTTCTCTTTGCAACCCTCCTCTGCTGCGATACTTATTTCGCCCTTTCCTTCCTCTCCCTCCTTCCCGCCTCTCTCTTATTAGATATACGTCAAGCCTCCTTTCACGAACGGCCCTTGCACAATTCTCCTTGCTTCAATCTCCTCTTGCCTCTCCTCTCCCCTCCCTCCACATCCACACATCCTTACTCCCCACCCCACCTTCGCCCCCTCCATCCTCAATCCCCCAAAACCCTTCCTCCCTTTCTGTTGTTCCTAAGATTTCTGGTCCCATACCTTTTTCTCCGTCCCCCATCCGCCCCTCATCTGTCATCAGGTGCCCCTGGGTCTAGCTGCCAATTATCTGTTCAGCCATGACATCCCCCCGTTGCTCTCAGGCCCTTTTGAGGTATGCCTCTTCACACATGCGCTCCACACACATGGGCTGTCTATCATTCATGTTTTGCCACACATGGTCTGCTGCCCATGCACAATCTCATGCATGCACATCATTACGATCCAGCCCAGCCAACACATAGACAAACGCACTCACGCATACAACTGTTTATGCACATGCGTGCACACACAGACACACAATGATGCGCGCACGGATACACTCGCACAAACACACAGCCACACACGCGCGCGCGCGCACACACACACACACACCCACCCACCTCAACCCAAGTGCATCCCCCCTCCCCCCTCACTTCTCCACCTTCAGTCATTTTGAGTTACCTCTTCACCGTTCTCGCTTCATCGTTGTGAACAATGTTTTAGAATCATCAAAACTCCCTCCCCACTCCTCTTCCGCCCCTCCACCTGCAGTCGTTCGGAGCGGCCTTCTCACCGCTATCACTCTTCATCCTCGGCATGTCAATGGCGGACGAGACAGAGAAGGCATCAGACGAGCAGACTCGCCTGGGCCCTCTCCTCCTCTCGCTCGCCCTCGTGGCCGGCAAATGCCTCGTGCTGCCGCTGCTCATCCTGCTGCTCCTCGCCTCCTTCCAGGGTACCAACCAACGCACTGAAAGAGACTATGATGTTCGTGTTTCGAGTCATCTCAAAGCGCGGAGTCATATCCACTGCACGTCCGCACCTCCTTCCATCCACCGCGTCTCTTTCCGCACGTCCCGCCCAACGGAAGTGCACACAGCACAGGCGTGTGAATCTCATGGCTCATGTTCTGAGACGTCGCAATTCCTCCCGTTTCTCTCCCGTCTCAATACGACGCTTCATGACTCTCGTGTGCTTGATGTGTCACACACAGCTACCTCGTGAATCTCCTGTTGCAACTAAGCCCGTCCTCTCTACCTCGTGAATCTCCTGTTGCAACTAAGCCCGTCCTCTCTACCTCGTGAATCTCCTGTTGCAACTAAGCCCGTCCTCTCTACCTCGTCTCTTTACCTTTCCCTTACCCCTTCTCCTCCTCGCCCCCTCCTACCCCGGCACCAATGCCTCGTCCCTTTTCCTCCTCCCCTTCCCCTCTCACCCCCAACGCCAGCGGACGATACATCGCTGTCTCTAGCAGGGCTCATATACGGCAGTCTACCTGTCATGCCAGCCACATTCTTCTTTGCCTGTGAATACGGTCAGTCTCTCTCCCACCTCACCCCACCTCACCTCACCCCGTCTCGCCCCACAGCGCTGTGTTGTGCATGCCAGTCAGTCGTGCATCAAATCATCCCCATGGCCAAATCCCGCTCGCCTGGGTGCTCCCACCCTCGCATCTCCCTGCTTGCTTCGTTTCCCTTGAATAGCATGGTAAACCATTGAATAGATCCATTTTCTCCGTGGAACCTACTTTCGCCAATTCCGTTCTCCCTGTCGCTTCTTTTCCTCGATGCCCCTCCCTTAAATACTGCCTCTCCCTTAACGTCCCTCCCTCGATGCCCCTCTCCTTACCCCTCTGCTTACCCCTCCCCTCCCCCTTTCCCCCTCCCCCTCCCCCGGTCCGTAGGTCTGTGCCAGTCGTACATAGGCATGGCGACGGTGCTGGGCACGTTTCTGTTCGGTCCGCTCGTGTACGTGCTCCTCTCCCCTTAACGTCCCTCACTCGATGCCCCTCTCCTTGCCCCTCCCCTCCCCCTTTCCCCCTTCCGCTTCCCCCATCCGTAGGTCTGTGCCAGTCGTACATAGGCATGGCAACGGTGCTGGGCACGTTTCTGTTTGGTCCGCTCGTGTACGTGCTCACACAGCTGGCGTTCCTCGTCATGAACCACTATGAGCAGCTCTTGGAACAGGTAAACCCTCACTTTGATGATGACTTTCACGGCTGTCATGACTTTGAGTTGACTCGCAAGCTTCCTCGTCGTCATAAACCACTACCAGCAGCCCCTAGAACAGGTGCCTGACTCATCTCTCTCTCATGACTCTCATGACTCTCATGACTCTCACGCCCTCCACTCCCTCCATGCCTTTCACGGCTGTCATGGCTTTGAGTTGACTCACAAGCTTCCTCGTCGTCATGATTCTCATGAACCACTACCAGCAGCTCCTCCAAATGATGCCGCTGCCCGCCTACCTTGTGCCCTGCATCGCTCCCTTACTGCCTTCCTGCCTTCCTTCCTATCTGCCTGCCTGCCTGCCTGCCTGCCTGTCTACTTACCTTCTCCCTTGCTGCTATCTTCCCTCACCACACCACCACCACACCGCCTCCCGCCCTCCCCACACGGCACCTCCCCCAGGTGGAGTCGTCATCGCGGAGCATGGCGTTAGTAGGCGGCATCTGCGCCCTCTGGACCCTCCTCGCCCTCCTCCGCCTCCTCCTCTCCTGCCGCCCCGCCCCCCCCGCCTTCCCCCGTGCCACCACCACCACCGCCGCACAGGCAGCAGCAGAGAGTGGCGTGCCGGCTGGTGCAGGCACAGCGATAGAAGGGAGTGGTACTGAGGGTACCGGTGCTGCTGCAGCAGCAGCAGGCGCTGCTGAGGGAGGGAGGGGAGGGAGCAAGCAGGACCCGTATGAGCTGCACCGTGTGGTGGGGCAGATGCTTGTGTGCTGCATTGCACTGTGCTGGGTGAGTGGGGGTCCGGGGGCTGCATCAGCACACGATGTGCTTATTTATGAGCGGATGGGTCCGGGGGCTGGATGTGGGAACCGAGGGTGGAAAGGATCAGAGGGGGGACTGGTTGGAAAAGCGCGTGTGGGAACGAGAGGGGGGCGGGAAGAAGACAGTGTAGCAGGCAAGGGGAGGCCGAGCCATCATCGCATACTCCTCCAAACACACCTCAATCCATGCCGCTTTCTCTTCCCTCGCTTCCTCCGCCCCTCCTGCCTCTTTACTCCCCTGCCCCGTCCTCCCTCCCTCTCACTCCCACTCTTTATTCCCCTCCCCCGCTTATACTCACCCCTCCCTTGAATCTCCCCTCCGCTCCCCACCTCTCCCCACCACTCCACACCACTCCCCATCCCCTTACCAGACCTCAGCCAGCGTCGCCTCCCTCCTCTGCCGCACGCCGCTCCCACCACTCCCCTCGCTCCTGCGCTACGTCTTTCACACCACGGGCCACCTCGCTTCGGCAGTCTTCACCGCCCTCCTCGCTCTCTCCGAGCTGCTCTGCTCTGCGCTCGGCCCCTCCCTCGTGCACCGCCTGCGTTTCTACCTCGTCTTCTCCGGCTGGGTGCTGGCTGCGCTGCCTGTGGTGCTGCCGCTGGTGTTGTCCCCGGGCTGGCCTGACATCCCTGCGCTCTGCCCCACGGACCTGTGAGTGTGAGAGACCTGCTTTTGGGATACCTCGAAAGTGACTCCCATAGGGCGGCTTGCCCTACGGATCCCTGCACTCTGCCACACGGACCTGTGAGAGAGCTGTGTTGGGAATGCAAGGATATGCGGATTTGTGGGTTGTGTGTGTGTGTGTGTGTGTTTGCCGTTATTTTTGTTTCTTTCTGTAGAGTGGCTGAAGCCTAGGGTCCAGGGGTAGGGTTAATCATGGGTTTCATGTCCCTCCCTCCCTCCCCTTGCCGTCCCCCATGGCTCACACCGATGGCATGGCATGGCATGTCATGGTATGGCATGGCATGGCATGGCATGTGAGTGCAGGATAAGCTGCTGGTACCCCTTTGGCTCGCTGCAGTTCCTAGCTGCTCTCATCATCTACTCCATTGCAGTTATGTCTCCACTCCACACCCTGTTGACTGCTTACAATGCTATACTGCTAGCAATCAATGGGACATCTGCCACAGTGGCAATGCCAAGTGATACCATGTGATAGCAAGTAATATGCTGGGACGGGATTATGGGACGGCTCAGATTCCAACACCTTAACGCCGAATCATCCACTCTTTCTTCCTCTCCCCTCCTCTCGTCTCTCATCCTCTCCTCCCTCTCCATCCCCACTTTCGTCCTCCCCACCCCATCCTCTCCTCCTCCATCTCCACCCCCCCACACACCCACCCACCCATCAGTAATGATAATCATAACAAGCCTATCGCTGCTCATATGGGAGCAGTATGCAGGTCTGCGTGCCTCAGGTCTGCCTATCAACTGGTCCGACCTCCCTCTCTCCTGGCAGCCTCCTCCCAACAAGCACCTCGCCGCCCCTCCCTCTCTGCCTCCCTCCTGGACTCTTCACCCCCCCCTTTCTCCTACTCCGCTCACTGCCTTTCCCTCCGCGACCTCCTCTGCTGCCCCTCCTCCTCCTCTCTCGCCTAACACTTTTGCTGCTGCTGCTGCTCCTGCTTTTCCTACCGCAGCCCTAGCTTCTCCTTCTCAAGTGCGGCGTCGCTTCGCCCCCTCGGCCTCCCTCGCCTCATCACCCCCGGTTACGATTGCCACTGCTCTGCTCTCCCCCACGCGCCAAATGGGAGCATCATTCACGCGCACAGGTTGCGCTAACGCCTCTCCAGTTTCTGGTTCTCCCCTTCAGCACTGGCAGCAGCAGCAGCAGCAGCAGCAGCAGCAGTCGAGCTACGCTCCACCTCCCTTTGTTTCAGATTCCACTTCGCCCAACTCACCAAAACAAGCTATCAGCCCACGGCTCTCGTACCAACAACTTCAGCTGCAGCAGCAACAGCAGCAGCAGCAGATGGTATCAGTACCCTTCCAACCCCCGCCTCCTTCCGATCACGAAGACCTGGCTCGCCTATTCGCAGCAGCAGCAGGCTTCGGAACCTTTTCCAGCAAGAGCATCAACACAGCAGCAGCGGCAGCAGCAGCCGCTGCTGGTTCAGTGGGCAGGGAGCCTTCCTCCTTTGGTGCTGCATCCGCAACAGCAGCTGCTGCAGCTGCAGCAGCAGGAGCAGCGGGAGCACCTCCCGGCGCCGCTGCTGTTCATCCTGGGCTGCTCTCGTCGAGTGTGCTTGCAGCCATCGGCAGCAGCAGCAGCAACGCCGGTGCTGGCGGCGGCAGTGGCAGCAGGCCCGGCAGCAGAATGGCCAGCCGTCATAACTCGTTCTCTCTTGCCGCCGCCGCTGCTGCTGCTGCTGCTGCTGCCGCGGCTGGAGGCAACTCGGCAGGGCCACACCAACCAGCACCTGGTTCTGCTGCTGCTGCTGCTGCTGCTGCTGCTGGTGCAGGCTCTGCTGCTACTGCTGGTGCAGGCTCTGCTGTAGGAAGCTTTGGTGCCCCTCTGTCGCTCCCGCTGTCCCTGCCACTTAGCCGGCAGAGCTCCCTTGGAAAGAGGGAGAGGGGAAGGGAGAGGGAGGGGGAGAGGGAGAGGGAGAGGGAGAGGGAGAGGGAGAGGGAGAGGGAGAGGGAGAGGGAGAGGGAGAGGGAGAGGGAGAGGGAGAGGGAGTGGGAGAGGGTTGAGACGCGCAGCATGGGCAGTGGAATGAGTGTGGCGGGGCATGCGGATGGAGACATGATCCCGCCTCTGCTCATGTCTCCGTCCAGGTACGCTGCACCAACAGGTGCCTTTGAGTAGCTGCCCTTTTGTTGCTGCCTTTACCTTGCTGCCTCTGCTTGCTTCTAAATTGATGGGTTGTTTCACATGAATTGTCACCCACCCATGCCGCACCGATCACACGCACCGACCCGCATCACATGCACCAACCCCCATCACGCCCACGCATGAATGCATCATCCCTCATGGCAGGGTGGTGGCGACGAGGTGGCGGCAGAAGACGGATCTGGACTCTCAGAACGCGCTGCTGCTCTTCTGCTGCTACGCTGTCTTCTCCATGCTCGTCTCCTGCACCATCTCCATCTTCGCCCTCCTCAACGTACCCACTCTCTTTCATTTCAAGTCCACTTAACACAGATACTCCGCCGCGTATATATGCTTGAAAGGGCACGTTGTCTCCTGCTCCACCTCTCCGCCTTTGCCCTCCTCATTCCAGCTTGTCTACCCCTCATGCCACACCGTCCATCCCCCTTTCCACCCTTCATTCCACCTTTCCACCCCTCACCGCTCAGGGCGGGCGGCTGGAGGGGCACTTGGCGCTGCTGCTGCTGCTGATGCACGTGCTGCTGTCCTACAGCCAGGGCGCCGTCTCTTCCTCGCCTTCGGCATGCACGCGGGGCTCGTGCTGCCTCTCGTGGCTGCTCGGGAATGGTGGCGCAAGCAGCGCCTCTCCTTCCTCGGGGAGGTCTGCCTTGCTCTCTTCTCTTACATCCATCTCCCTAGCTTCCGCCCGTTCGCTTCTGCTCTCGCTTCCGCTCTCTCGCTTCTGCCCTCGCCTCTTCTCTCTCCTTACCCTCACTGCGCAAGCCCTCTCTGCTCATGCACCTTTCCACTGAACCCATTTCAACCTCCATCTTCCCTGACCACCTGCACTCCATACCACACTCAACCCTGCTCGTTCCCTCCAATCCCATCCCTCTAACCCACTCCTCCCCCCACAGGTGTCTCCATTCTTCGCGGACGAATGGCAGTACCTCGCACCAGACGACGACTACCCCATGCCAGGTGCCGCCCATTCAAACAGCATGATGCTCGCACGAGGCTGGTCCATGAACCCAGCGCAGCTGCAGCTCTTCCCCCGGGACTGGGACCTCTACTCCCGGGGGTGGGAGGACGCGTTGAGTGTGAGGGACGATGGCATGAGTGTGCGTGACTACTACCCTTCATATCCGATTGATGAGGGGGATGAGGACACGGTGGTGAGTTCGGATGGGGGAGGGGATGATCAAACGGACCGGGACGATGCAGAGACTGTGGTGGAGGTCACAGAAGACTCGGTCTTCTGATGCAGGAGGAGGAAGTATTCACGGGTTGAAGTTGCTATTATTTATTCCCTTGGAACTCCTATGTTATTGATGAAATAATAAAAGTCTGCAATTATTCATCTAGAATGTTATGAAAAATGTGTTAGCGAGTTGGATGGAGTACTGAGTCATATAAAGACCTCACCTGACAAGCTCAGGCTCTAAAGACCCTTTTAACGTTGTATTGGTATATACATATATATATATTTGTTCCAATAATCACATGGTGATTATGATACGGTTTCTTTGCTTCATCACTTTGAACCGCTCTACTCAGTTAACTTAAAGCGAAACGATAAACCGTTCATATTTGTACAGAAATGACAAACGTGGCATGTGTGATTGGTTGGTGTGTCAAGTCACTTTCAAATGAAATGCGAACTCGTACGCTGGTTACATCGCTTTGCAGATCGCCTTGCCAAAGTCTGCCCTAGCGAAAGGAATGCATTGCGGAGCACTTGACCTGCCTTTGTGACATTGCAACAAGCATTCGGCACGGTTCGCTCATGCCCTGCATGAAGCTGGTTGGTTAGCCTCAGATCTCCCTGTTTCGCGCCTTCGCCCAGCGTATCCCCGAAGCTGCTCACATGCGCCATACATCGCACTAGATATCCGGACCGAGCCGCCGATGTCCTTGTTTGACTGGTCCGAGCATCACCGAACAGTCTCCCAAACCACGCAACCAAACGTCATTAGGAACTACAACTAATGATTGGCCAGATCTACTCTGACTCCTCCTGACAAGCCACTTATCTCTTGGAGGCACGATGTCACACCTCCCGACCAGACCTCTATTGTACCGCCCTCCTCCTTTCCCGCCCTTTCTTGACTGACGGCAAGGAGCCCGACTCGGCGGTGATCAACTTGGCTTCGGTCCCCCACAGGAAACGGAGTTTTGACGGAGGTCCTCCCATACCATCCATCCCAGCCCACCGTGACTGCCAGAGCGTTTCGTTTCGTTGGCTTGGGGGGACAAAGCACTGAAAGACCCGCCAAATCTTACTGGAGTGATAGTTTTGGTGTGGTAGCAAGCAGGTTGTACCCCTAAAACACATTCACTCAGTACCGCTCCCGACGGGATCGCGGGTCCATCCAGACATGCCCTTTCGCCTCTCGCCTCTCTCGTGCTCCTGTTAGTGAGTTAAGATCCTGGCGAGGCCGCAGAACTAGCCACGCCGTAGTAGCTACGTGCTGTAGCACCCTCTCGTAGGCGCACCAGCCCCGGGTGAGAGATCGACAGATCGACAGAGAGGAGAGGCAGCGGAAGGCGAAGCGAAGAGAAGGAGAAGGAGGAGTCGAATGGCCGAGGCAAGACGACCATCCCCTCATGGGGGACTTTTACGGCTGCTGCTCGTGCTGTGCGCCACAGTCGCCGCCAACGTCCTTCTCTCGCACGCAGCCACCCAGGAGGAAGGTAAGCGCGCGTGCACACACTTCAAGTGCGTTTCGCTCAGGCGTTTCAAGCGCGTCGGAACTGCTACCAGCATCCGTATGACCACGCAGCGACGACGGACTAGGAAGGTAAGCCCGCAAAAGAAGACTCTTGAGACGTCTCAAAAGGACTAGGAAGGTAAGCCCTCAAAAGAAGCAGTCAGGGAAACATCATTTCACAGAAGCGATCAAGTGTGTAAAACGTACGAGTAAGAGGATAAAACGTCGCGTAAACATCTGAAGGTTTCAGAATACGTGGAGATAACGCCGTTACATGCGAGAGACGCTTGCTCCGACTCCCGAGGGCGGCTTTTTAGTTGTCCCAGTCCGGGCCTTGTGATCCAGTTAACGCGAGGCGACAGGCCACGTGCGGGCCTTTGAGAACTAATGCGCGGCCGAGATCGAAGGAGGGTTGCGCGTGAAGCCGCTAGCAAAGAGCCCCGTTATACGGGACACCCGCCGTATGAAGAGATCCCCGTTACGTGTTCCCTGTTCGTTGCGCTCGTCCCTGAATGTCCCATCAAACACTCTAGCTCGAAGTTTTCACGACAGGCTTTCTGTCGAGTAGCACGCAAGCTCCGATACGCTACTGCATTCCGCACCGCGCGGTATTCCTAAGCGGCTACATTCTCATGATCGCAAAGAAAACGTTCCTCTCGGCTCGTGTATCGTCGACCCGTAGCTATCCATGGCCGTCCGTAGATCGACTATCGACTCGACTCATAAGCAGACCGCGGCAGGGCGTAGCAACCCCAAGCGAGACATAACTGCCAGTGCTTGCTAGGGACTGGCCAGGCGGGGTTAGGCATAGCGCGGCTAGTCGTGGCGTGGCTCGCATGGCTTAAGTGCGAATGTGGCAGAATAGCTGTGCGCGCGAGCCGAGACACGGCTCCCGCGGGGAATGGGAACCGCATAACGCGTGTTTCGAGTCGCAGTTTCCCCCACCCACGGTGGCGAGTTCCTGGCGTCCCTCGTTCCTTTCCTCACCCATCTCCGCCAGTCTCCCCTTCCGCGTTCTTATCCCTGTTGTTTGGCCTTCACTCTCTCCGCGTGTGCTGTGCGCTGCTCCGCGTGTGTGCGCTTTGCTCTCCTCCCCCTCTCCTCCGCTCGGCGCGCAGTGGCGGCGCTGAACAAGATGAAGGATACCCTGGGCCCCGCGAACCTGTTCGTGGGGTGGGTGGGCGATCCGTGCACCGGCATGTGGCTCGGCGTGATCTGCGACGCGCCGCAAAACGTCATCGGCATGTAAGTAGCGACACGCCAGCATCCTAACGTACGCAGCGACACGTCATCATCGGGTTAACCGAAGCCCGCACAATCCGACGTATCCTGTAGCCTGTTACGCCTGTCTCTCCCCCTCCGTCTCCCCTCTCTCCTCTTCTCACTTCCCCTCCCCCTCCTCTCTCCGCTTCTCTCCCCCTCTCTCCCTCTCTCTCCCTCTCACTCCTTCACTCTCCCTCTCTCTCCCTCTCTTCCCCTCCCTCTCCCGCTCTCATCAGCAACTTCGAATCGCTCAACGTGGACGGCACGCTCGCCGATGACGTCAGCCGCCTCACGTCGCTTCAGATCCTGTACGTTCCTTTTCCACCCCTCACTGATCTGACGGCATCCTGGGCTAGGTTGGCGAGAAACTGTACTGCCCCGTTCTTTCCCGGCTATTGACCCACCCAGCTCGTGATCCTCTCTACGATGTGCTTCGTTACTCACTTCTCTCCTTCCCCGCACCCTCTCGCGCCCACCCTCTCCCCCTCTTTTTCTCTACCCGCTCCGTCCCCTTGCGCCAGTCTCCGTTTCCCCCCTCCTTGCGATTGCGACTCCTCATTCCGTGTCTAGCAGTTGCCAGCCTGCTTGTGCTTGCTTCTGTGCGCACGTGTCCCTTAGCACGTCCCTGTGCGTGTCTCTCCGACTGACTCTCTGCTTGTTCCTCCGTTTGTCCCTCCGCGCGCGCCTCCTCCGCGTGTGCGCGTGCGCGCGCGCAGCAACCTGGCGAGCAACCAGTTCACGGGGAAGCTGCCCAAGGCCATCAGCACGCTCACCAACCTCCAGCACCTGTACGCGCGCTTCCTCCCCGCGCACTGCGCGGAGAGGGGAAAGGGGGCGAGAGAGTGGGGAAGAGGCGGGGTGGGTTTTGGGAGAGGGTGAGGAATGGGTTGTAGGGGAGATCGGAGGGTAAAAGGCGAGAAACGGAGTGGTCGAGTCCGGTTTTTATGACATAATGTTGCGGGCAGTGGAGAGATGGAGAAGATGAGACGTGCATGGAGGCTGGGTGTGTGAAGCTGGCTCTCACACGTTCCCCACTGCTTCCTACGGCCGCCTCGCTTTCTCTCTCTCTCGCTTTCTCTATCTATCTACCATCTACACTTTTCCACGCCAGCGCCTGAACGCATCACCCGCCCATGTGTTTCCGCCACCTGTCCACTTGTCCGTGTGCTTGTGCGTGTGCGTGTGGCATGGAGCAGCGATGTGAGCAACAATAAGTTCGAGGGGAAGCTTCCTGATGCCTTCAGCCAGCTCACCGCCCTGCGGCACCTGTCAGTCCCGCCAGCAGCCTTTTATCCCACCCTTTCCTCTCCCTCGCTCCTCTCCCTCGCTCCTCTCCCTCGCTCCTCTTACTCTCTCTCCGCTATTTCTTCTCTCTTGTGACCTACATTGCCTGTTCGCCTTCTCCTTCCACACTCACTCTCTCTCATCCAAACCCCGTCCTTTCCCACGCGCTTCTCTCCGTATCCTTTTCCCGCATACAACCCCCGTTTCCCTCCTTCGCCCCCCGCATCTTCCGCGTGTCTGTGTGCCGCGGCGTGCAGCGACGCGAGTCAGAACTCGTTTGTGAGCGAGCTCCCCGCATCTCTCAACGCGCTCTCCAGCGTCACGTACATGTGAGTCAGATAGAAAGGAAATGCGGGAAAAGGAAATGTGAGAAAGTCGCCTTTTGATTCGACTCAAATAGCTCCCCGCGTCTCTCAGCGCGCTCTCGAGCGTCACGTACATGTGAGTAACGTAGATGAAACGTGGTGCGGTACGTGTGAGAGAGATGAAACGCTTACGTGTGAGAAACATGAAACGCGGTGCAGTACATGGGAAAAAGATGAAACTGCGGTCCAGCACATGTCAGCGCCACAACACGTGGTGCTCCCCATAGAGTAACAAAGAATCACACCCTTTCTCCCCGACCTCTGTCCCCCCTGCCTCCTCCCCTCTCCCTCCCGCTTTCCCCCTCTTGCCTCCCCCTTCCCGCTCCCCTCCGCCCGTCCCGCTCCCGTTCCCCCATGCTCACCCTGCCCCCCCACCCGCGAGCAGCAACCTGGCGAAGAACCAGATTTCCGGGTCGCTGCCCGACAGCCTCACGGGCCTCAGCGAGCTCACCTACCTGTACGCCCCTCCCCTCGCGCCAATGCCCCCCATGCCCCTCGCGCCAATGCCAACCACGCCCCTCCCCTCGCGCCAATGCCCCCCACGTCCCTCTTTTGCCCCTTTTGCCCTCCATGCCCCCCTCGACCCCCTTCCCCTTGCTGTCCCTCATGAATCCCGCCCCCATGAAAAGCCGTAAAACCTTCACACACCTTCCTCCCTATTCCACTCCACCTCACCCTTTCCCCCCTCTCTCCGCTTCTCGCCTCTGCTTCAGCTTCAGATCCAAACGCCTTTCTCCCCTTGTTCCCACGTCCTTTCTCCGTTCTCTTTCCCATCCTCACCCCCATCCCCATCTCCCTCCCCTCTCCCGCCCTTCCCCAACCCCGTCCCCGTCCCGCATTCCCATGCGAGCAGGTCAGTGGCGGACAACAGCATGTCGGGCACACTACCGGCATCCCTGGGATCGCTCGCCAAGCTCTCAAGCTCATTCTTCCCCGCCCCCATCCCCATCCCCCTCCCCCGTGTTCCCATCCCCTCCCCCATGCGAGCAGGTCAGTGGCGGACAACAGCATGTCGGGCACGCTACCGGCATCCCTGGGGTCGCTCGCCAAGCTCTCCAAGCTCGACCTCTCCAACAACGCCTTCACGGGGCCCGTCCCCTCCACCTACTCCGCCATCCCCAACCTCATGTACCCGCCCCCCCTCTCGCCCCCCCCCCCCCCCCCTCCACTCGTGCTCGTGCTCGCGCTCGCCCTCGCTCACGCCCTCCGCCCTCCGCCCTCGCCCCCCCCCTCGCCCCCGCACTCCGCCCTCGCCCTCGCCCCGCCCTCCGCCCTCGCCCTCGCCCCCGCCCCTGCGCTCCTGCTCGCTCACACGTTCCCGCTCAGGCTCGCACTGGCATTCATACTCGAGCGCGCGGTTGCATTGCAATTTGCTGTGTTGCCCTCGTTGTCTCTTGGCCTGTGAGGCCATAGCATGCCATCTGGTTCCCTCCTTGTCTTGTCCCTACCCTCACCTCTCCTCCTCCTCCTCCTCGTTGCTTTCCACCTCCTTCTCTCCCTCCTCAATCTAACCATTCCCCGCATTCCCTTCCCCCCACACCCCGCACTCTCCTCCCCACCCGCCTCCCCCTTTCCCCAGCACCACTGGCACGAGCCTTGACGGCGCAGCAGCAGGCGCGCCAGCATCAGCTGGCGCACCAACAGGGGTAGTCGACGCTCCGCCTGCGCCCGCCCCTGCCCCCACCGCCAACGCGCCCGCGCCCGCGCCCGCCTCTGCATCCCTCCCCGCGCCTCCGCCTGCGCCCCCGTCCCTCCCCGCGCCTCCCCCCGCCCCCGCGTCCGTCCCCACCCCCGCACCCGCCCCCGCGTCCTTACCCGTAGATGCCCCCGCCCCCGCCCCCGCCCCCGCATCCCTCCTTGCGCCCGCCTCATCACCCGCGCCTTCCCCTCTGTTCGGATCCGTGCCCGCGCCCTCCCCCCTCATGGGCTCCCCCGTTCCCGCCCCTTCCCCCTCCCCCTCCGCCGCCCCCCCTTCCACGAGCGCACCCACACCCGCACCCGCCCTACTCCCCCCTGCTGTCCGCCCGCCAAAGCACAAATCCCCCCCTCCGCCCAAGGCCTCCCCCCCGCCCCCATCCCCGCCGCCTCCGTCCCCATCCCCGCCTCCCCCTGACGCTTCCCCGCCTCCGCCTCCTCCTCCGCCTCCGTCAGCGCCGGTTGCGTGTGGGGGATGCGGGGAGGGGCAGGTGGGGTGGGCGGAGGGCGCGGATGGCGCGGGGCAGTGCGCGTGTGTGTATCCGCTGCTGTTCACGCTGCGCCTGGGCATGGAGTACAGCCAGTTCACCCCCGACAAGCAGCTCGTGAGTTCCCCTGCCCTTGCCCCTCGTGTCCGTGTTTTGAGACGTCTGAAAACTCGTCTGGGCATGGAGTACAGCCAGTTCACCCCCGACAAGCAGCTCGTGCGTGCCCTTGCCCTTGCCCTTGCCCTTGCCCCCCGTGTCCGTGCCCGTGTCTTTGCCCTTTGCCTGTGCCGTTGTCCCTGCCCTTGCCCGTGCCCGCGCGTGCATTCGTTTGTCCCACACCCTCCTCCCCCACGTCCCCACACCTTCCCCCCTCCTCACCATCTCCCTGCACCCCCCTTGCCCCCACCTTCCCCCCACCTTCGCCCCACCTCTCCCCCCACTCCCCACCAGTCCCTGGAGCAGCAGCTGGAATCGGGTTTCCCAGTGCAGGCAGGGCAGGTGCGCAAGCAGTCAACCCGCGCCGGCAGCGTGGTAGCAGACATGGCAGTGGGGCCAGTGGCGCCCGCCACGATGCTGGACCAGCCCACAGTGGACCGCGTCACAGGGATTCTCTACGGCACCAACGAGTCGACTCAAGAGCTACCCCCCCACCTCTCATTCGCCCCCATCTTCCCCCCACTCCCGCTCCCCCTTCTCCCCCCACCCCCCTCTCTCCCCCCTCCCTCCGCCAGTCCCTGGAGCAGCAGTTGGAAGCAGGCTTTTCCGTCCAGCCAGGGCAGGTGCGCACGCAGTCAACGCGCGCAGGCAGTGTCGTAGCAGATCTCGCCGTGGGGCCAGTGGCGCCAGAGACGAAGCTGGACCAGCCCACGGTGGACCGCGTCACGGGGATTCTCTACGGCACCAACGGCAGCATTAGCTTGAGCGGCTTCGGGAGTGTCACGGTGGTGCAGCTCGTGCCGCCCAACCAGATCGCAAGGAACGACACTGGTGGTGAGTCGTCGTCGTCGTTCTTTGGCCCTGGTTTTGCTGTGTCCGTGTGCTGTGTGCCCTCCCCTCTTTCTGCGCCTCTCACCGTATCGTTGCACTCTCATTGTCGGGAGTGTCACGGTGGTGCAGCTCGCGCCACCCAACCAGATGGCAAGGCCTGACAGTGGTGGTGAGTGCCTCTCTCGCCATGGCTGTGTTTTTTTTAAGGGGGGAGGGGGATGCCCATGTGTGTGTTCACGCGCACGTGCACCTGCATGTGTGTGTGTTCCCCCTCCCTTTTTCTGCTTTTCTTTCCTGGTCTCTCCACTTTCCCCTCCCACCCTCACCCTCCTCTCTCTCCCCATCCCCCGTTCTCCGTCCCTTCATCCCCCCATCCTCCCCATCCCCCCCACTTCCTCCGCAGCCCCCCCGCCATCCCCACCAGCACCAGCGCCAGCACCGGCCTCGTCGTCGTCAGGGGGCTGGTCCACGGCGGCCATAATCGGCGTGGCCGTGGCGGGCTTCGTGGTGGCCGTGCTGCTCGTGGTGGCGCTCGTGGTGCTGTGCATGCGCTGCCGCCCCAGCCGCAAGGACGCGTTTCAAGACGACCTTGCTGATGATGCCGCCCGCCCCGCCTTCCAATGTGAGTGGAGAAACGGCTCGAGCCATGAGCCAGCCGCTTGGAGGGAGGGGGTGAGGGAGGGTTTTTTAGCCGACTCAAAAGCTATGCCCCAGCCGCAAGGATGCATTCCAGGACGAGGGAGGGCATGGAGGAGGAGGGGTGGGAGGGGGGGATAGGGGTGGGAGGGAGGACAGTGTGAGAAAGACGAGGATGATGGGGTGAGGCTAGTATTTCTATTTTGTGCTGCTAGAGGTAAGTAGCAAGGGCAGTTGGCGATTGCCCAACCATGCCTCATCCCCTCTCTCCCCACTCCCCTTCACTCTTCTCCCCTCCATTCCTTCCGTCACCCGCCTCTCCCCCCTCCCCCACTCTCCCCCTTCTCCCCCGCACTCCAATCCCCTCCCCGTCTCCCTCTGCCAGCATGGGCGAACGGGTCGTCAGCCAAGGCGAACGGCGGCGCATCATCACGCAAGTCCCAGGGCGTGCCGCCCGTGAGCCTGGCAGAGCTGCAGATGGCCACGGACGACTTCGCCCCGGACCGCAGGCTCGGCACCGACCCTCTGGGCACGACCTTCGTGGGCACCATGCCGGACGGGACGGAAGTCGCAGTGAAGAAGATTGAGCCGTCTGTAGTGGAGGGACAGTCGGATGAGGACTTTGTGGCGGTGGCGGCTAATATGGCGCGGCTGAGGCATGGGCATGTGGTGCAGCTGCAGGGGTATTGTGTGGACTATGCGGAGCGGATTCTGGTGTTCCAGCACTGTGCCGGAGGGAGTCTGTACGACCATCTGCATCGGAATGACGATGATAGCTCGCAGCTGCTGTCGTGGGACGACCGCGTGGATATTGCGCTGGATGCTGCTGAGGCGCTCGTGTGAGTGTGCTGGGGGTGGGGTTGGGAGGGTTGGGGAGGGGTGAAGAGGGGTGGAGAAGGGTTGGGAGGGGTGGGGAGGGGCGAGGAAGGGAGGGAGGGGCGAGGAAGGGAGAAGGGTTGACTGCGCGATGGATATTGCGCTGGATGCTGCTGAGGCGCTCGTGTGAGTGTGCTGGGGGTGGGGGGAGAGGGTGGGGAGGGGTGGGGAGGGGCGAGGAGGGGAGGAGGTGTGTGTGTGTGTGTGTGGTGGGGCAGGCGGTTTAGTGCGTGAAGAGGGAGCAGTTTGTATGCTGGTGAATTTAACATGCACGAGCCGCCCATGGTGCAGCTCTCTCCCACTCACCGCTCCATGTACTAACCCCCCTCGCTCCACACCACCCTCCCCCTTCTCCCCCTCAACCCCACCGGCCACGGTGCCCTGCAGGTACCTGCATGAGGACTGCATGCCGCCCATGGTGCACCTTTCTCTCACTCTAGCATCGCTCCATCCATCAACCCACCTCGCTCCCCCCTCTCCCCCCCCTCCTCCCTCACACGTTGATACCCCGCAGGTACCTGCACGAGGAGTGCATGCCGCCCATGGTGCACCGCAGCATCTCATCGCGCAACGTGCTGCTCGACTCGTCGCTGCGTGCACGTGTCGCTGGAGCAGGCCTCTCCTTCCTCAACCCCGTCGGCACCGACGAGAAGGTCTGCGCCCTGCCCCCCCTCGCCCCGCCTCATGCTCGGTTGCCCTAAAGCATTTTCAACCACTGTGGCAAACGCCATGCTCCCTCGCTCCGTCACGCCCTCACATGTGTCTCCCTCCCTTTTCGCCCCTGCCCTGCTCGCTCTTTCCCTCTCTGCCTCTCTCGCACTCTCTCTCTCTCCCCTCATCTGCCTCGAGCAGTCGCTGTCGGACCAGCTGGTGGGGGGCTTTGCATACAACGCGCCAGAGTACGCCATGTCAGGCATCTACACCGCCAAGAGCGACGTCTACAGCTTCGGTGTCGTACTGCTCGAGCTCCTCACAGGCCGAAAGCCCGTCGACTCGTACGTGCCACCCTCTGAAGTGTTCGCGGTAGTTGCGCGGTGTGGGATGGCTTGGGTGGGCATGGTGGGGTGTGGGATCATGACTTCGGTCGGGTTGAGGCCTGTGAGGAGGAACTTTTCTTTTTTTGTGTCGGTATCCAAAATGTGACAAAATCCTGATGTGTAGGTTTTTCTGTGGCAACTATTCCCCTTTCCCCTAAAATCGCCCGTGTCCCTGCTTTGCCGCCCCTTGCCCCTCCCTCTCCCCCTCGCCCTCTCTCGCCCTCTCCCTCCCTTGCTCGCCCTTGCTCGCCCTCTTGATTCTTCCCAGGTCGAAGCCCAAGGCGGAGTCATCGCTGGTGCGGTGGGCGGCGCCGCTGCTGCACGATGTGACAGAGCTGGAGGCGATGCTGGACCAGCACATCTCAGGCCCGCTGCCCGACGTCTCCAAGCTCACCAAGTTTGCAGAAGTCATCACCCGCTGCATCCAGGTCTGCCCTGCCCTCCTTTGCATGGCAGTGCTCGTACGCAGTGCACTACTCTCTGCTTGTTGTTTCGGTTTTTCATTATTGTGAAGTTTCTTTCCTGGCCCATCAAGCTTCATCTCTACTATCCCTTCCCCCCTCTCCCACATCTGTCCTTCCTGTTCCCTGTTTCCGTTTCTGTTGTCTCATCAGCCTGAGCCGGAGTTCCGGCCTCTGATGTCGAAGGTGGTGAACGATCTAAACAAGATCAGGGGGGAACGTAGAGATGATGCCTCCGATGCAATCTGATACTAAGTATCTGGCCTGACGTGGCTGGACTAGAAATATAGAGAGAAGCTGCATGCCGTTTCCTTACAGCCTGCATCGACGAGACCCTTTTGGCTTCTCGTCAAACCTTCTAAGGTATTAGATCGACAAGCACCTGTTGGAAGTGTTTGGTGTCTGACTTAGGAGAGAGGGTTATCAAATAGTGGTGCTAGTACTTGGAACACTGGGGGCCGGGACTTTGTTTTAGGCGCTGTTGTATGGTTATTTGATAAGTAGCTGCTTTTGAGTTTTGACAGCACATAAGTAAGATGAAAACATAAGGAGCCTCAAGGATGGCAACCATAATCACCTATGAGCATTGTTTTTCGAGTTTCATTATTTGTGGATACATTCCATTGTTTGGAAGCTTGGCTCGCTATAGTGCGGGCTTGCTCCTGACACACGACATCCTCACTTGAAAGCAACTCACAGCCAATCAGCCTTACGGGCGCGAAAGCTCGTATGGCAAAGCATTCCACCGACTTGATTGGTGACAACGAGTGGCGGGCGACAGGTGCCACGACCTTCTTGCCCATTTGCGATGGTTGGCGAACGTCACAGCGAGCAGAAGCATTCTTGGAGGAGAGACCACGCGAAATCCTGACAAGATCGCCGACTCGCCCGAGTCGCTTGCACAATTCCATGGTGGAGTGCCCCATTTGGCAGACGACAGCTTTCTTGGGAATGTCCCGTTGCTGATCAGCTCAACCGTTGATCAACTTCCTCCAATTCATCCGCGCGCCTCCTCGCCTCGCCACTACAACCACCTAGCACCACCCCACCCCACCCCAACCCACCCTATGCACAAAGAAAACAGACAAATGAGGTAACCGCTACATAATTGGCTCCTCAACCACAATTCATTCAGACGCACTGCTTTTCTTCTTGTTTGTTCCCCATTCCCGTTCCTCAAACCGGTCCTCTATCCAAGTTCCATGGCGGCGGGCAAGAAACCCTCGAGCACGTCATCCAAGAAAACGTCGTCCTCCAATCCAAAACCCGTGCCATGGCGACGCGTTTTTGCGACCATTCTGGTAGTTGTGCTCTTCTATGCGCCGTTAGTTGCAATCAGTCGTCAGATTATATTCGGAAAGCGAGTTCTCCCTCGGCCGGCGGCCACTACGCCGGTCGACCAGTTTAGTGAAGAGCGGGCTATGGCCCACGTCACGAAGCTGGCGGGTGATATCGGCGACCGACAGGTGAGAGGCAGCGAGATACAGCTACCAACAACAGGTTCTGTGTATGGTAGGTTTTTGGTGGGCGAGAGCACGTTGTGGCACGCTTTCGTGACGGGGCAAATTTGGTGTTACGAGGGACACATAATAAGCGAATCCAAGCATCGAGGGAGTCTTCGAAAAGAAAGCGTCTATTCATTCTGGGAGTTTATAACGACTTTGTTTGTGAAATTGCTAAGGATACGTTTCTGTAGCTTCATGGAAGGGAACTGAAGCTCGCCTTTTGACCGACCGGTGACTGCAACTCTCAATGCCCATCCGACAGTCTATCAGCACCAGGATTGGGCAAGTTGCTACTTAGCTGCGAAACACCACTGCGAATTACCCACTCAAACGACCATGTTCAAGCTGCCGGGGGGGGGGAGAGAGTTGGGTCTTGAATTCTACTGCTCTGACGTGTGGCTGGCTGGCTGGGTGTTTTCTGCATGGATGCAGGAGGGCACGGAAGGGTTGGCGGAAGGTGCGAGGTACATCCTTGGCGAGGTAGAGCGACTGCGTTCCATAGCCAGTCCCCGCCTCCGGTGAGTGAGCCGTTGAAAGCGTGTCGCCTGCTTGCCTGCATATTTGCTCTTGCGAAGAGGATTGGTTTCGCTTGCTGGATTCATCATATCACAAGTGGGACATGTAGCACTCTCGCCCTTCGTTCTCCCTCTCTCACAAAACCCTAACTTCCTTGCACAATTCTCTCGTCCATGATTTGGTTTCTGAGCTCATATCCCTTGCATGTGTTGCATTCATCACCGCCCACTGTATGACCGCCCTCCATCCCACCCTCATGTGTGTCGCTGTCCCCGGGGCTTCCGTGGAACCAGAGTGGAGGTGGAGGAGAGCAGTGTGAGCGGGTCATTCAGCATGGTGTTTCTGCAACGCAGCCTCTCCCTCGCCTACCAGAACCTCACCAACGTTGTCGTCAGGTGCGCTCACGCCTTTCACCACTCCCGTTCGCCCACCCACCCACCCACTCACCCACCCACCCACTCACTCACCCACCCACCCACCCACCCACCCACCCACCCACCCACCCACCCACCCACCCACCCACCGACCCACCCACCCACCCACCCACCCACCCACCCACCCACCCACCCACCCACCCACCCACCCACCCACCCACCCACCCACCCACCCACCCACCCACCCACCCACCCACCCACCCACCCACCCTCCCACCCACCCACCCACCCTCCCACCCACCCACCCACCCACCCACCCACCCACCCACCCACCCACCCACCCACCCACCCCACCCACGTCCATCCGTCCGTCGTCCGTCCGTCCGTCCGTCCGTCCATCCATCCATCCATCCATCCATCCATCCATCCATCCATCCATCCATCCATCCATCCATCCATCCATCCATCCATCCATCCATCCATCCATCCATCCATCCATCCATCCATCCATCCATCCATCCATCCATCCATCCATCCATCCATCCATCCATCCATCCATCCATCCATCCATCCATCCATCCATCCCCGTAAAACAATTCATCCAATTAAGCCTGCTTCCCGCCTGAGTCCATCCTACGCCCCGTGCGTCTGTCTACCCATATCCGCCGCACCTATCACTTTCACCCACTCAACCCCCGGCTACTTCTCTCAGAATTTCCAACGCTGCCACGGACCCTGATGAGGTCCCCTCGGTGCTCATGAACGCCCACTTTGACTCTGCGCTCGGTTCCCCAGGAGCGGGTGACTGCGCAACATGTGTCGGTGCGCTCTCACCCTTTGCCTCCTTACCCTTCTTTCCCTCCTGGAAATTGTTTTCCTCTTTTCCCCCATTTCTCACTCGTGCCCTTACAAGCGGCTGCTTCGGTGTCCCTTTTTCCAAGCTCTTCCCCATCACTGGCAGTTTTACTCGTTTTTCCATGGCACGTCCTACCTTCCTCTCTCTTACTCTCTCTTGCTCGCTCTCACTCCCCATCACTCGTTCACCTGTGCCGTTCTGCCATGTGTCCCTGTGCTGTCTCTCCCCTGTTCTGTACTGTACCACCTTCTACCTGCATTACTGCATGGGCCACCACCAGCGGCCATGCTGGAGGTGCTGCGGCTGTATGTGGAGGGGGACCGCATGCCCACCGTGCCCCTCATCTTCCTGTTTAACGGTGGAGAGGAGGTCTTCATGAAGGTACACAACCCTTTGGGTTCAACCGCCGCCTTGTGGGTTCAGCTCTTGAGAAATTCCCAACTTCCAAGTCAGACTCGACTCAGCAGTCTTTTTTCTATGGGCAGTCTTTTTACGGTTCCATGACTCAACCGCGGCCGTATGAATGTGCTGCACTGATTTTTTGTCTTTTTTTTTTCCCGGCTTCTTCTGCCCTTCCCGTTGCTCCCTTCGTACGGCTTGTTTATGTTTCCCATATCGCCCCCACTCCTGTGCTTCTTCCCCTTTTATTTTCTCTTGTCTGTCTCCTACTGTCCCTGTCTTCATGCCTTCTTTGTGTTTCCCATCTCCCACTCCTTCTGGTCAAGACCATGAGCATTTGGCGCTTGCTTCATGCCTCCAATCTCACGCGCACGTGCCGCTCATCTGCACACATAGCAACACAAGTTAGGACACACATACCTGCGTGCACGCACGTGCAATATCACACCTGCGTGAACTCTGCCACGCCTTGCCTTCCCCCAGGCGTCGCATGGGTTCATCACAAGGCACCACTGGAGTGAGACGGTGGGCGCCATGGTCAACTTTGAAGCCGCAGGGACTGCCTTGCCAGGTGCTGCCATGGGCTGATACTATTTGTGTGGGAATGTGTGTGTGTGTGTGTGTGTGTGTGTGTGTCTGCACACGTTTGTTTGTTTTGTTTTTGTTTTTGTTTTTTTCATGCAACTATCTTTACATCCACTTTTCATTTTCCCTTTCTTCAGGATATTTGTGAACGCATCACATTGATTTGCACACGTCATTGTGGCTTGTGTTCACGTCTTCGTGTCTCTTACTCCACTGTCTTCAACCTCCACTTTGATTCACGTCCTCTGGCATATGTGTGTTTCGCGTAACATCCTCCTTATCCCTTTGATTCACTCTGTCCCCCCATGCCTCCCTCCCTGCCTGCCCCCCTCCCTCCGCCCCTAACTCCCTCCCTCCCCCCCCCCCCCCCCCCTCTCCCCCCCCCCCCCCCCCCTCTCCCTCCCCCCCCCCCCCCCCTCTCCCTCCCCCCCCCCCCCCCCTCTCCCTCCCCCCCCCCCCCCCTCTCCCTCCCCCCCGCCCCCCCCCCCCCCCCCCCCCCCCCCCCCCCCCCCCCCCCCCCCCCCCCCCCCCCCCCCCCCCCCCCCCCCCTCTCCCTCCCCCCCCCCCCCCTCTCCCTCCCCCCCCCCCCCTCCCTCCCTCCCTCACGCCCGTCGTGGATGGGGCAAGAGCAGAGATGGTGGTGCAGAGCGGGCCAGTGTTCTGGCCACAGCGAGTGTACGGCGAGACCGCCGTCTACCCCTCCTCCAGCGTCGTCTGCCTCGTACGTTCGCTCCACCCCAGCCCACCATGCGCCACGCCTGTGCCATTACGTGCTGTAACTGCCATGCCGCTGTCGCATGATCGCATCCCATCATGCAATTCCCAATTCCCCCACTTCTTCCATTCTTTCCACCAGCTGATCCAACCATCAGCCAGTCCGACTCTCACATGCACCAGCCGCCTGCCACATCCACATGTGCCGCGCCCCTCCGTCCGCTCTTCATGTTGCTCGCATGCATGCACATGTGCCTCCATGAGTGCGGGCCAGTATGTGTGTGTTTCGCGTGCACTCATGCATGCCTCTTGAACTCTGGGCTCTGCCCATGCCATGCACTTGATGTCACCTCTGCCCCCCACCCATGCAATGCGTGCATGGTTAGGACATCTTCCCGCACATACCAGGTGACTGCTTTTGAGGCGCCACATAACACGCTTGCGTCTCCACCTCTTCTCCCCATCCATGGCATGCGATGCGTGCGTGCGTGCGTGCGTGCGTGCGTGCGTGCGTGCGTGCGTGCATGCATGAGCAGGACATCTTCCCGCACATACCAGGGGACGACGACTACCGCATGTTCTCGCATGACTTTGACGACGTGCCCAGTCTCGACAGCATCTACCTCCTCGGCGGCACCTTCTACCACACTTCCCGCGACTCCCCCGAGAATGTCATGTGAGCCATGCCGTTTGGATCAAATCATGATATATGAGCCATGCCGTTTGGATCAAATCATGATATATGAGCCATGCCGTTTCGATCAGATCATGATATATGAGCCATGCCGTTTCGATCAAATCATGCCATTTGAGCCATGCCATGTAACTGCACTCAAAGAATACCATGTCGCAGCCTGTTGCATCCTTAGCTGCCTGGCACCCGTCACCCATTCCTCATCGTCACTTTTCTCATCCAACCAACTTCCCACCCCCCTCCCCGTGCCCTCCCCCCCACCCCCCTTCCTCCACTGCGCCAGGCCCGGAGCACTGCAGCTGCGGGGGGAGAACTTGCTGCCTTTGCTGGAGGGATTATCCAGGGCGCCGGAGCTCAAGACACGGGAGCAGAGGCGCATGGATGCGTGGTCTGAACCCCACACCTCCCCCTCCCCGTCCCCTCTTCCCCACCCCCCTTCCTCCACCACTGCGCCAGGCTGGGAGCGCTGCAGCTGCGGGGGGAGAATCTGCTGCCGCTGCTGGAGGGGTTATCCAGGGCGCCAGAGCTCAAGACACGGGCGCAGAGGCGCATGGATGCGTGGTCTGAACCCCACACTTCCGGCAGCGCTGTTGTGGGCGGGGGTGGTGCTGGCAACAGCACGGGGGCCAGCATGCCCAAGGACATCCCCATCTTCTTCGACCTCTTCAACATGCGCATGGTGCGTTTTGAGGCGCCTCAAAACTCACCTCTATGCTTGCTGGCAACAGCACCGGTGCCAGCATGCCCAAGGATATCCCTATCTTCTTTGACCTCCTCAACATGCGCATGGTTTGTGTGCTTCCCTGCTCCCTGTTCCCCGTTCCCTGCTCCCTGCCCCCTGCTCCCTGCTCTCGTCTCTCTTCACCACCCCGTGCATCCCTCATTCCGTCTCATCTCTCATTTCCATAGTGATGCGCCTCAAATAACCGGCACGCCTTTTGCTTCTTCCTTTTTTTTTTTTTTTTTTTTTTTTTTTTTTTTCTGGCTGAAACCCCGGATGTCCTACGCAGTCCCCCCATCACCTTTGTACTTGCAACCAGCTTCATTCTAGCCCATTCCTCTCTCTCCCCGTTCCTTTCTTTCGGTCCACCAGGTGATGTACCCGCGGGCAGTGGCAGCAGCACTGAACGTCATCTTCCTTGCAGCACTCTACTTGGTGCCCTCCCACGCCACCGAGGCCCAGTCCGGCCTCAAGGAGCCCTCGCACCGCTCCCAGCACATCCGATCAGGTTGCCACACTCCCCTCCTCTGGTTGACTTTTGAGTCGACTCAAAAGTCCTCTCGCACCGCTCCCAACACATCCGATCAGGTCGCCGCTCTCCCCTCCTCTGGTTCCCCCACTGTCCTCTGTTGTTCCCTCCCTCGCACCCTTAGTTCGGCTGCCGTTACCAATACAATTACCCCACTTATCTCAGACCTGCTAAATCTTTTAGCCTTTCTCTTGCCCCACACCCCCCACACACCACGTCACTACCACATATCCTCACCCCTAACCCCATCCAAGAAGGGGACCTTTCTCCCTTCTTCTTCTCCTCACGCCCCTCGCCCTCTCCCCCCCCCTTCCCCCCCTCTTCTCTTCCCCCTGTCTCTACAGCCTTCGTGGCCTACAGCGCCAGCTGGCTGCTGTCTCTCATCGTGCCCATGCTCGTGGCTGCTCTGCGTGTCACTGTGTCTTGCCGCCCCATGTCCTGGTGCGCGCACGGATGGATGAAACCGTTTTTGAGCTTGAGGCAAGGCAACTCAAAAGCCGCCCCATGTCCTGGTGAGCGCATGGATGGATGAAAGTTGAAACCATTCATGAGTTAGAGGCACCTCTAAAGCCGCCCCATGCCTTGGTAAGCGCACTGCCGACAAGTGGATATTCCCCACATCACTAGTCTGTGCGCCTGTGGGGGGCTGGGAATGGTTTGGGATGGTGGTAATCGTACAGATGGGGGTGTGGGATGGTGGGGGGTTCGGTGCAGCACGGGTGGGGGAAGAAGCAAGCATGCAAGCACACATTAGAGAGTGAAGCTCTCTCCTTTCATGAGATGCCAATGACAGAGGAGATGGGGAGGGGGAAGCACCGGCAATATTCCACAAAGGGAGCTCACTCCATGTATGTATGCATGCTTGCATGGTGAGCTGAGGGCACTGGTGAGGCCCCTTGGTCCATGTGGGTGCTTGCGTTGCGAGCCTGGGCCGTACTGCAACCGTACACACTCACACACACATGGATGGATGAGCCTGATGTTGGTTAAAGTTTATCATGCTGTACCACACACGCGCTATCGGCACCACCCATGTGAATACGTATACGGCCACCAACTCGGGGCGTCCATTTTCCTTGTCGACCTATCCTTCTGGCTCTCTGCCACCTCTCCACCTCTCCACCCCTTCCTTCCTATTTCCCTCCTGGAGAGATGGTGCCAGCAAGAAATGCAGCTTCCTGACCGACGTAGCCCTTTCTTCAAGCACACATCTCTATCCACGCTCATACCAATTTCCGCATACATACACTGACGCCCTGTCCCTTCCTTCCAACCCCCCCTCCCTCTCCCTCCCCCCCTCTCCCCTCTCTTCCACACCCCCGTTCCCTCCCTCCTCCCCTTTCCCCTCCTCTGCTCCCCACCGCCCTCCCCCTCTGAGCCTGTGGCAGGTACGCACAACCCGTGTACGCGCAGTTTATGCTTATCCCGGCAGCTGTGCTCGGGCTGCTGCTGCCGCACTACATCCGAGCAGGGGGGACTCTCAGCAACCCCGCTTCACTCAACCCCCAGCAAGAGGTGTGCCCTGCCCCCCACCCACCTTTCTCCCGACCTCCCTCCTCCCCTCCCTTACACCCCTCCCTCCTCGCTCCTTCCCTCCAACCCCTCGCCTCTGCTCCGTGTTTCTTCAATTCCTATTTGTTCAAGTGGTCGTAAGGGCATGCAATGGAAGGTGAAGGCTATACTCAAAGAGGCAAGAGATCTTTCCCGCTTTTTGTATACCCTTCACGAGTAACTGCTCATGAGTAACCGCTTATGAGTAACCACTTATGAGTAACCGCTCATGAGTAAACCGCTCATGTAACCGCTCATGAGTAACCGCTTATGAGTAACCGCTCATGAGTAACCGCTCATGAGTAACCGCTCATGTAACCACTCATGAGTAACCGCTCATGAGTAACCGCTCATGTAACCGCTCATGAGTAACCGCTCATGAGTGTGGCAGTTGTTTCCGTCCTCTTCCTCATTCGCGGCTTCTTCTGTAAATCACCCTCCATCGTCCTATCACTCCATCTGCTTTCCGAACCTCCTTACCCCCCATCCCCCGGTCCTGCCCCCCGGCCTGTCTGCCTGCCTGCATATCTGTCTGCCTGCCTGTCTGTCTCTGCCTATCTTCCTACCTTCCTGTCTGCCTGCCCCCCTGCATGCCTGTTCGTACCTGTGCAGGTGGCGTTTGTGTGGTCGTCTCACTGGGCATGCCTCTCCTTCAACGTCGGCCTCTCTGCTGTGAGATAATTCTCTCCATACACCAGCCCCTTTTGCGTTCCGAGACATGCACACATGCACACATGCGCGCATGCACACATGCAGACATGCACACATGCACACATGCGCGCATGCACACATGCACGCACGAACACAATCCCATATCCTTACATGCACACTTGCACGATGCATACTCGCGCGCACACATGTGCATCCTACTCACAGTTTTGAGCCATCCAAGTGACATGTGCGTGTAAATGTGTACATTTACACGCACATGTCACTTGCATGGCTCAAATCCGTAACACATGTGCACACATGCATGCTTGCATGCATCCACGTGGGTCTGTATGTCACTCATGGAAATCCTCCCACACCCGCGTCATCACATGGCACACATGCACGCAGCACACCACACAAAGCTGAGCCGACACACCCCTTCACCACATACAACTGACCCTCTCCAGCTTTTGTTTTCCAACCACCTCATCCCTATCCCATACCCCCGTGCTCTTCTCCTTGCCCTAAAAAATCTTTACCTCCCCGCCCCCCTCCAACGGCCACATGTCACGCCAGCTGGTCATGCACGGGTTTGGCGGCAGTGGAACTTTCATCAACTGGTGGTGGGCGTTCTTTGAGGCGTCTCAAAAATAGCTCCCCTCCCCCCTTGGCAACCACCCCCACATGTCACAACAGCTGGTTATGCACGGGTTTGGCGGCAGTGGAACTTTCATCAACTGGTGGTGGGCGTTCTTCATGCTTCCCGCTCTCTTCCTCTACACCTCGCTTCAAGCCACCCTCGGCAAATCAAACCCCCTGTACGAATGAATGGCTCCCGTCACGCCATACTGGATTCACTCCCCTGTTCTTCTTCATATTTTGATGTTTTTTTCTGATGTCCTTTACAAACGATGCTCTCACGGTCCCGCTCCTTGCATTAGGGGAAGTGACAAGGGGAGGGAAAGTGAAGGTTCTCTCTTTTAAGAACTCCCAACGCTTCTTCTGCTGCTTCATAATTTCTATCGCTGCCTCCCCACTTTGCCCGTCCGCCCTTCTTTCAACGCCATTCCCATTCCTCCCAAACGCCCACCTCTCTCCCCACCACCACAACACACCCCTCCATCCTCCCCTCTCTCTCTCGCTTCCCCCTCGTCCTCCCCGCCCATCCCCTGCTCGCAGAGCCCTGTTGGGCTATCTGCTGCCAGGGGCCTTCCCAGCCGCATTTTCGACCACCTTTGCAGTCTTCTTCCTGCAGTTTATGTCCGAGAAAATGGGCGCCACAGGCACTCCGCCCCTGCCCTTCGGTGCGCACCTCCTCACCACCTCCTCACCACCTTCTCACCACCTTCGCACCACCTTCTCACCACCTTCTCACCACCTTCTCACCACCTTCTCACCACCTTCTCACCACCTTCTCACCACCTCCTCACCACCTTCTCACCACCTTCTCACCACCTTCTCACCACCTTCTCACCACCTTCTCACCACCTTCTCACCACCTTCTCACCACCTTCTCACCACCTTCTCAGCACCTTCTCACCACCATCTCTGCCCCTCATCCTCTTAGCGTGCACTTGCTTGCTTCCCCTTAACCCTTCCTCAGTCCCGCTCTCCTATCCTTCTCCACACCACTTCGTGCACTGCCATCCATCCTCGTACGTACCCCACGACCTCATATCCTCCCCCTCCTCCACCTCCTCCTCCCCCTCCACCTCCTCCCCCTCCTCCGCCTCCTCCCCCTCCTCCACCTCCTCCGCCTCCTCCCCCTCCTCCACCTCCTCCCCCTCCTCCGCCTCCTCCACCTCCTCCTCCTCCAGGTGCTCTCCTCTCCCTGCCGCACACTCACCATGCTCTCTCCACCCCTCCATGCCCTTCACCGCACCACCAGATCCCTTCCTAACAAACGTGGTGCTAGCAGCGTCCATGGGCTTCTGTCACACCCCTCTCACACCCGCACCCCTCTCATCCCTCCCTCCCCACTCCGTTCGCATGTACCAGGCGGCAAGGCAGTGAGTGCAGAGACCACAGTGGCCACTGGCGACTCCAACGACGCCACCTTCCTCCTGCACCACGTGCCCCGCCTCGCCGGCTCCCTTGGCGTGCCCCCACCCTCGCATCATCACTCCAACCGTACCGCACTTGTCATTGCAAGGCCATCCAACTTGCTGGTAACCACGCACGCAGTGTCCTTCCCTGCTCAGTGTATCTGTCGTCTGGTGCTGGACCTTGCTGGTTACTCAGCTGGTTTTTTAGTTGGTGTTTGCTTGTAATTCTCTCATTTCCTCATCCTATAATGTTCTTTCACTCGCAATGCAAGTATTGCCGTTTCACAACTCTTCCCTGCCTCTCTCTCCTACTCTCCCTCGTTCTCCCTCCCCATTTTTGGAAACCTCCATCCCGTTCTTCCCTCATAACCTCCCGTGTCCATCATCCTTTCATCTTCCTTCTTCTCACTCAAGTGGTCATTGCCTTGATTAAGCAAAGATACAATCACACACACCTCCCCTCGCACACACCAATACGTCCACCTGAACAAAGTCCCTAACTTCTCTCTCCCCTCTCTTTCCCCCCCTGTCCACCCACATTACCCCCTCCCAGGCTCTCTACCCAGTCTCCAGCCTCCTAGACCGCCCCTTGACCTTCCCCGCGCCTCTCTCCCCTCGCTTCGAAGACCCGGACTTCCAGCTGCCTTCTCTCCACCTGCTGCGCCAGCACACCTCCCAGCTGCCTTCTCTCCGCCAGCAACTGGGTGTGGACGGGGAGTGGCGAGGCGGGAGAAGCCTGGAGGAGATGGATGAGAGGGAGATAGAGAACTATGGGATGGAACTTGACGGGGAGGGGGAGGGAGAAGGAGCGGTACAGAGGAAGGGGGGGAAGCGGCGGAGAATTCACCTGGAGCTTTCAGCAGGGTGAGTGGATGAGCCTGGTGGTTCATTTCACCGGCTGCTTCGCATAGTCATGAAACGGCACGTTACTTTCCATCCAGACGCCATCGGTGTGTTCCAAGCCGTTTGAACCCAGCTCAGTGTCATTTCATTTCATCCCCATCGTGCAGGCGCTACCCGCAACCCATCTGAACCGCACTCCCTGGCTCTCTTCTCCACCCGTCCCTCTTGTTTGTGCAGATCACTGTCGCACGTGTGGTCTGCTGTGCTCAACATCACTGGCCCTGTCACTGCCTGGTCCCTCACACCCACCCTCCCAGGTACGCTCACTCTTGTACCCTACTTATCCTCATCCTGTTCTCCTTCCCCACCTTGCCCAAATCTATTTTCCTGGCGAATTGCTACCCCCATCTACGCACCCACTACATGAATCTGTCAATTTGTATTTCTTTCTCTACCCTCAATGTATGTGCCTTCCTCACACCTCCCCGTCGGCCTATGTGAGTGTCAACATGCAAACACTCCCCGACCTACTATCCTCTCATTCACTCTACCGCCTCCTGTTTTTCATACACTCCTCCCACCCTCACTACTCGTTTGCTTGCTTTGCCTACCGCAAAATTGCGGTTTTTGTCACAATTTGTTTTTGCTACCTGAAGCGTCTTCTGTTCTCCTTTCTTCATTCACTCCCATCCACCGGCTCGGCTCGTGTCAACATCTCGCCTCTCTGTGTGTCTGTCCCGCCCGGCAGCCCTAAATCCATTCCTGATTTGTGTGTATTTACTCCGTTCCCTCCGACAACTGTACCCCTATAACTGCAGCACGGGAGAAGGTGGCAGGAGGGCCACCATCTCTCATGGTTCATTACTCAGGTGCATTCCCATGGCAGCTGTGGATTGAGGTGAGCGTGCTGCTGCTGCTGCTGTTTGCCGCTGCTCCTTTCACCCTCACTTTCTCCCCTGCAAGTCTGATCCCTTCCTCTTTAGGCAAACACAAATTGCCTTTACCACCACCATTGCATGTTACGAATGTGCAGAGGTGCACTAGGTTATAAGGCATCTGCCTGCACAGTGTCTGCTCGATATTGAAATCTCTCACATTATTTTTGCTCTCCACATTCAATATCCACCCTCCCCTGCCATTCTGCCATTGCAGGTGAAAGGGCGGCGCAGGATACATGTTGATCTGGCCGTGCTGGACCATGAAATGGATGCTGACGTGGCACAGATGAAGAGCCTCTTGCCAGACTGGACTGGTCCAATAGTGTCCTCCTCTTATGTTGCCCATTACACATTCTAGACTGGTGCATTGCAGTACCGTATGTCAAATATAATAGTTCTAGGCTGTAGTGAGTTGCATTCTAGAGGGTACAGATGCTAGAGTTTCCTATTTGTATCCAACACTTTGCTAGTTCATTCATTCCGTTGTGTTTAGATTCTGAGATTGTATCCGAGTAGGTTCCGTTCCTAGCTCCCCGCCCTACCCTAGCCTAGCCTAGCGCCCTCCGCGCCCTCCGCGCCTTTGCACCCTCCGTGCCCTCCGCGTCTCCGCGCCTTAGCGCCCTCCTAGCCCGGCCGCGCCCTCCGCGCCTTCGCGCCCTCCTAGCGCCCCTCCCCACGGTCGACCGCCCCTCCCCACTGTTCCGCGCCCTCCGCGCCCCTAGCCCGTCGCCCAGGCCCGCGCCCTAGCCCGTCGCCCCAGCCAGCGCCCTAGCCCGTCAACCCGGCCCGCGCCCTAGCCCGTCGCCCAGGCCCGCGCCCTAGTCCGTCGCCCCAGCCTGCGCCCTAGCCCGTCGCCCCGGCCCGCGCCCTAGCCCGTCGCCCAGGCCCGCGCCCTAGCCCATCGCCCGGGCCCGCGCCCTAGCCCGTCGCCCAGGCCCGCGCCCTAGCCCGTCGCCCTGGCCCGCGCCCTAGCCCGTCGCCCAGGCCCGCGCCCTAGCCCGTCGCCCCAGCTCGCGCCCTCGCCTAGGCCCGCGCCCTCGCCTTAGCCCTCCCCCCCCACTGTAGCCCGCGCCCTACCAACGCCCTCGCCGACGGCCGCGCCCTAACCCACGCGCCACCTCCTCCTAACGTCCCAACCGCCCCCCCTCTCACCTAACCACCGCCCTGTCCCCCGGGCTCAAACCGTTCGTCCTGCTACTGGCTTCTCACTCCGCGGGTGGCAGCCGTCTCTCGCTCCGGTCACTAGATTTCGACCCGGGTCGCACTTAGCTCCTAGTCTCTAGCCCCTAGCCCGGTTTCCTCCTCCACTGGCGCTCCTACGACTCCTAGGTTCACCTCCGCCGTTCCTAGCCTAGCGTCCAATATGGACTCCTCCCGCCGCCTTCGTTTCGATGCGGAGGGGCGACCGATTGAGTTCAGTACCTGGCAGCGCCAGGCCACGCGCTACCTCACCAGTCAGCGTCAGGACGCCGCCACCCTGTGGGCCCACGCGTCTGGTGCCCTCAAGGCGCCCCTGTCTCCCGACCCCCTCCCGACCGACCCAGAGCCAACTCCTGCGGCGCAGGCGGACTACGACCGTCGTGTCTTGGCGAGCGACGTGTGGGACTCTCGCGATGCTGCCGCTTTGACCAGGTGGAGACAGCTCAGGGGGTTTGGGCTGCTGTTGTTGCACGCTATTCCACCCCTTCCTCTGCCTCCCTCAGTCGCCTCCTCATGCCGTTCGTGTTTCCCGACCTCGGCTCGTTTGCAACTGTGTCCGACCTAGTGACTCACCTCCGCTCACTTGACGCCGGTTTCCGAGCGGCCTGTACCGACGCCCAACTTCTTGCTGCTCCCCCCCCCCCATGTGGCTCACTGTGCACTGGTTAGTCACCCGCCTCCTTGACCGCCTTGCCACTGCTCGCGATGCGCTTCTCCAGAAGCACCCCACTGAGCTCACTATCGATCTCCTTGAGACCGCTCTCGGGACGATCGAGAGTAGCCTCCTCACCGTTGCCTCCGCCACTGACGCGGTGGCCCTCCGTCTCTTTGCGGGGTGTGCCGCCCCTCAGCTTCCCACTTTCACTGCTACCCGCGCTTCTGCGGCTGTGTCGGTTTCTGGGGACACTGCTGCCGTTTCTGCCGCAGACTGGCAGAAACGGGGCAAGATTGGCAAGAAGGGCGGGAAGGGGGGAGGTGGAGGCGGTGGAGGCGGCGGAGGAGGTGGCAGTGGAGGTGGGAGCGGCGGCGGCGGAGGTGCACCAGGCGGAGGGGGCCTTGGCGGAGGTGCAGGACAGACAGGCCCGCCCACTGGCGGTGGCCCGACCCGTGGGGGTGTTGGACCCCAGCAGCAGCAGTCGCAGCAGCACCAGCCACAGCAGGGACAGCAGCAGCAGCAGGGATAGCAGCAGCAGCAGCAGGGACCGCAGCAGTTCCAGCAGTGGGGGCCCCCACTGCAGTGGGGTCCGCAGCAGCACTGGGGTCCCCCGCCGCAGTGGGGTCCGGGAGGACCGGGGAGCACCGGCCGCAGCGACAGCACTTCCAGCTGGGCCTCTCGCCCCCCTCGCCGTGACACTGGCCCCTGCACCCACTGGTGCCTCACCGGACCTGACAGCCCCTGTCTCTGCGGTCGTGACGACCACTCTGCCGCGCGGTGCTTCCGCCGCCTCGACGACCTCTACCGTGCTCGTTAGGGCCCTACGGCGACCACGCCTCGCTGGGCTCGCCTGTTAGCCCGTAAGATTGATGTGTTTGATCTGTACATGGACGATGCTCCTCAGCATGCTTTGTATGCTGATGTTGACTATAGTGCTGATGGATTTGTGTGCTCGCGTGTTCGTAGATTAGCGTGCTTGCCTCCTGCTAGTGTAGACTTGTGCCTTTCTAGTCTAGGTGCTTGTGTTGCTGCTCTAGGTGCTTGTGTAGCCACTAGGACAGGTGACCCTCCGGCTGAGGCATCCCTGTCCTTCACGCTGGACTCTGGTGCGTCTCAGTGCTTCTTCCACGACCACACGACCCTCACGCCACTCCTTACTCCTGTTTCGGTGGCTCTGGCTGATCCTACCTCAGGACAAGCCATTGCGCGTAGCTCCACTACCCTCCCGTGTCCTGTGGTCCCCTCTGGTGTCCTGCGCGGCCTCCACATCCCCTCGTTCACTCGGAACTTGGTGGGTGTTGGTTACCTCCAGGACAGGAGAATCACGATTACCTTTGTGGGGGGTGGGAGGACTGCGGTCTGTACAGACGCTGCCACAGATGCTGTTCTGGCCACGTTCACCAGGGAACCCCGCTCCGGTCTCTACGTTCTCCACACCGAGCGCTCCCCGGTTGCGTCCTCCGCTTAGGTCGTTGCGTCCCCTCCAGTCTAGGTGTCCAGTCTGGTTGCTGTGTCTATCCAGGTGGTCGTGTCTTGTCCAGTTGCAGTGTCTAGTCAGGTCGCGCTGTCTAGTCCAGTCGCTGCGTCCTGCTCCTGTCGCTCCCTCACCCACCGGACCGTCTTAGGTCGCGTCTCCCTCCCCGCAGTCCTCCTCTCAGTCCCCTCAGCAGCCTTCGGCACTTCCGCGACAGGTTACTGTGGACTCGGTTGGTGTTGGAGCTGGAGGTGCAGCCGCTGGCGGTACTCGGTCTGGGGGTGCTCGTTCGAGGGGTGCTGGAGCTGGAGGTGCTGGCGCAGGTGGCGCTAGCTCTGGGGGTGCTGGAGCTGGAGGTGCTGGCGCAGGTGGCGCTAGCTCTGGGGGTGCTGGAGCTGGAGGTGCTGGCACTGGAGGTGCTAGTTCTGGGGGTGCTGGAGTTGGAGGTCCTGGCACAGGAGGTGCTAGTTCTGGGGGTGCTGGAGCTGGAGGTGCTGGTTTTGGGGGTGCTGGTGCTGGAGGCGCTGGCACTGGAGGTGCTGGTTCTGAGGAGACTGGAGCTGAGACACTGGTTCTGCGGAGTCCACTCCGCCTCCCCACCGCCACGAAACCCGTCTCCAGGCGGCCCGTCGGCGTGAGCGTGAGGAGCAGGTGCTGTTGGAGAGGGAGCGGCAGGAGTTGCGGGAGTTGGACCTACTGGAGCAGCAGCAGCAGCAGCAGCAGCAGCAGCAGCAGCAGCAGCAGCAGCAGCAGCAGCAGCAGCAGCAGCAGCAGCAGCAGCAGCAGCAGCAGCGGCAGCAGCAGCAGCAGCAGCAGCAGCGGCAGCAGCAGCAGCAGCAGCAGCGGCAGCAGCAGCAGCAGCAGCAGCAGGAGCCGCCGCAGCAGCAGACACCGCCGCCGCAGCCGCGCCCACCGCAGCTCCCTCTGGAGCGGCAGTTGTTCCCACCCATGAGTGGCCTTCGGGCCCTTGGTCTTCCCTCCTCTCCTCTTTTTCACACTCTGTCCCCTCCAGCGATTGGTCCCACGTTTCCTCCTCCTGACTACAGTCCGGCGGTCTGGTCTTCTCCTCCACCGTAGTGTCCTCCACCTGTTGTCCCACACTCTCGTCTCCGTCCCTGTCCTCCGCGTGCTCGTCACTCGTCTCCCGTTACCGACCTCCGCACTGCCCTCCTTTGTTTGTCTCTTCGTCGTTCTCCTCCTAAGTCCGTTCTCCCGTCTCCTCCTCCGTCCTCTCTCCCTTTCTCCCCTACTCCTGTTACTGACTACTACCGTGCTGTTCGTCCTGTTGTCTCTCGTGTCCTCGACACTCTTGTCACCGACTCTCGTTTCCCTCCGTCGTCTGTCTCGACTCTCATTGCCGCTGTCGCTGAGTTTGTTGCCGCCAGTCGCCTTGACTACACCACCCGTGTGGTGCCAGCTCCTCCCTCCCGTCGTCTGTCCATCGGGGGTGAGTTTGCCCTTGGCTGTGACGTCCTAGAGGACAGAGAGTCTGAGCTGGAGTACCGGGCAGCCTCTTCTCCCTCTGTCTGTGCCATGCTGCTCTCCCCTGAGGGAGACCTCGACGGCCTTGACATACCTACTCCTCGTACTTACCGTGAGGCAGTGTCAGGGGCGTGCGCCTCTCAGTGGAAAGCGGCTATGGCCTCGGAGTTAGCGTCTTGGAGATCCACAGGCACCTACGTCGACGCAGTTCCCCCTCCCAGGGCGAACGTAGTCGATGGCATGTGGCTCTTCAAGGTGAAGCGGCCGCCTGGTTCACCGCCTGTGTTCAAGGCGCGCTACGTGGCTAGGGGTTTCAGTCAGCGTGAGGGAGTTGACTTCTTCCAGACCTTCGCCCCGATCCCGAAGATGACTACTCTTCGGGTGTTACTGCACGTAGCAGCACAGCGAGACTACGAGTTGCACTCCCTTGACTTCTCCACTGCGTTTCTCCAGGGCCGAATACACGAGGAGATCTGGCTGCACCGCCCTCCTGGCTTCACTGACACCTGGGACCCAGTGGAGCCTGAGGCGGCCAGTCTACGGTCTC